GATCCTCGGAAGACAAAGAAAGATGGAGGCGGAAAACGAAACTGGTTAGTTTACTAAACTTTGGCATCTCCATCGTGGCCCATGGAAATACCCAGTGACCCTCCTCCAGGGGCCGCTCTGGCGATGAAGTGCACGACTATGGCTACAATTTTACGAACACACGACGCCACTCAAACAGTAGCGCTCAGGGCATTGCGGACTTCAAGACAAAGTTCGAGGCCGTTGAACCAGAGCCAGTTTTTGAAGAAAACGTGCATGGGCCCGATGCCCTTCCTCCGGATGACGACATGGTAAGAAAACTTGATAGCATCAACAGCGATAACACCGAAGGTAGTGAAGTCATTTGGAACAAGCCATAGCTATATCGGGTGAGGTAGCCAGGGATCAAGATGAGATTTGTTCAAGAGTGACTTCACTGAAACAGGGTAAACCAGCAAGAGCTATGTATGAAAGGTGACGTCCATCTATAGGTTATCTATGACCTGTGCTAGGAAATCCAACGAGATAGTAGTTTGACTGCGCTGTGCGATCGAGGTGCCTTGCTCGAACAGAACAAACCCTTAAATATGCAGAAGCAGATGCTGCAGCCTCGCCTAAAATACTGGGGGCTTAATATCAGACAATTGCATTGCTAGAAGATACTGAGAACATGTCAAGCGCCAGAAAAGTATTACTAAGGAAGTATAGAGGGGCGGAGTGGAAGAAGGGCATGCCTGCAACCATTTAGTCCATTTCTAGCGTAAACGCACTAGCAAAGAACTCGAATATTGTTGAGAGTTGTTCTAGAACCCTAGAGCCAACTCAGCTGTGCCTTATCGGTTGATAAATCGTGTTGCGTTTCATTATGCGCAGTGCCATTCTTATCATCGTCGGCAGAAAGCCCAGAAGGCCCTTGACGCGTGGCCTTGGCTGAGTCAAAAAGGTTCTTGAACCAAAAATCAAGCTTTCCTTTTTCGATCTGCTGAAGTAAGATTTCGTTCTCCCTGGCAAGATCACGAGAGATGCGGGCACGCCGCTCAGGTGGAAAACGCGTTGTAATAAGATCAGCGTCAGACTCGCTTAGCAACACGTCGTGTGGACCGTTAGGGACGTATATAGAAGGGTAGTTAGAGTCTTCATCAAGGCCTGTAAAGAGTTAGTAAGATGCTCATAAACATTCTGTACTAGTCGACTTCATACCGTCCCTGAGGCACCAACAAAGGGTACGTGAGAGTGTGGTAGCATAGAGGAAACTTTCGGTGTCCATTCCCAATCCCTCAGCTGCCTCTTCCATTCTTTCCCAATTGTTATCTATCATGCATCTTCTCCATACTAATTTCTGCAGTGCTGCATGGTATTGTGGATCTCGCTGATCGTAAGAGAGTCGGATAATCCTCAAAGCTAGGTAAAATTGTTTCCCCACGATTTCATCCTGACCTTGCTCAGAGGCCTGGGATAGGTATATGTGCGTTAGCAGGTCGACTAATTCATCCGAATCGAGGACTTGTCGAGTGACAATCTTAGCCAGAGCCTCGCTAAATATCTCGTGCAAGGAAGGCCTATCCGCGGCTGCTGGGTTGCGAAATTGTTCGATCGCGATATCAATCTCCGCTTTCTGATCAATTGCACTGTGTAACGCGGGCGAGACATAGGCGAAAATGACTTCTTGAACAGCATCAACCTCCGCAAGATCTTCCAAACGTCTGACGTTCCTGCGAACGACTAGACTATCTGGCATTCGAGACTCCTCCCAGACAGCAAGATTCGCAAGCTTTGCTAGAGACAACTCAACACGATGACTCCATATATCTGATTCATGCTTCGTGGCAAGCTTCTCCAAGGACCGAGCAGCGCCCTCATAGTCATTCTCGCCGATCACATCATTGATCCAGCCCAGCCGCAGATAAGCCGGATGTTTCCGCAAGAACCGAGTGACGAAGGGCTGAAACTTTTTCATCGCAAAAAGTATCCCAGATTGACCCATGGAGATCTGTCGGGAGAAGAAGGAATCGGCCCATGATTCCCCGAATTTTTCGAAGTAAAAGGAGATTTTTTGACTGAGTCGCTCAGATGCATTCTCGTCGGCACCTGCATTTTTGTTTGGCGAATCTTGATGCGTCACAAGGCTCTTGGTTTGGTCCTGAAGCTCGATTATGAGTTCCACGAGCGCTCCCATGTCTCGGAACTGTTCGGCAAGCATAATGGCATCGTCTAGGTGTCCTATTCCGGCCAACTTGAATAGCTGCCATTTCCGTTGCTTGATGTGAGCTTGTTTAGTCGCAATGCTTTCGTCGATAAGTTTCTGATTCTCTTGGGCCGAAAGCCACCGGACTCGTTCACAGTGCATGAGCCCCAGAATCTGAAGCTGCCTGGAACTATTTCTGGCGATCCTTCTCACTGTTTGAGTTTCAGGTAGCTCAACACCAATCGTTGTTTTCTGGATCCAAGCCCTGCAGCTATCAAGCTCCAGATCCAGCAGATGTCCAAATTCAATGTAACAATAGCGCTGAGAAGTCCAAAACTCCGAAAGACCAGTGTAGTCACCCGTCAATATGCCGTTCTCCAGATAACCATCGCCAATACCGTACCGGCTTGAATTCTCGTCTCGATAACGAAACGCTGTCTCCAGAACTGCTAATGACAAGTCACTAGCTTCGAGTAGCTGCTCTGACATCCGTCGTCCTGGTTTTGAAGAGCTCCCCTTTTGAGGCTTGATGGCGTGAAAGACCCACGGCACGATATGTTCCATCTGAAAAGTATCATACAGAAACCAATGGCGCACTGGGTCGCACTCACCGGTCTGCTCTTCTATCTTCGTTTTGAACTTCTCGCTCATTAACCCAATTATGTGCGCCAGCAGTGTTGAATTTTTGCTCGCGCATTTCCTGGCTTCGTCTTCCAACTTCCACATGGCTCTTTGAGCAGCCAGTTTCTCCGCACTCCAAAGTAACTGCCACCAGACTTCCCGGCGGATAGTCTCATTCTGCTGTGTCAACAAGAGGGCGAGGTCGTCGAGTGCTTTCGCTCGCAGTTTCAAATTCTGATCCACGGAAATCCCAGTCGATGGAATGAAATCCGATGCAGACCGCATTAATTCCTGGCATATTTCCAATGCAGCATCCTCCGTCTCATTGATTGGAAATCCTATTCCATCATTACCTGTAAGATTCAGTGGGTTTTTTGTCATTGTGCCATAGAATATAGCCTGTTCAATTTTATGCTTCGCAGTGATACGGCCATCATCAACGTTGCTCTTTGTTCTTTCACTCGGAAAAGCTGCGATACGAATGATTCCAAAATCTCGAACCATCAGTAGACATGCGGCCAACGAGCCTTCACCATTCTGGTTTTCATATCCGCTTCCTAAAATTTCGTAACTCTCTCCAGAACGTAAAGGAATAATATCCTTGAACGCTCGCTCTTGCTGAGTTATGGGAACCGTTTCCTGAGCAATAGTAAGATGTTCCGGAATGGCCAACGATAGCAACACAATCGACTGCCCAACCACAATGAAAGCGGTATGTCCGGGACTTGGTACAAACAGCCTTACTCGCGGAAGGTCGAGGTGAGTACGTAGTCCATGAAAATCTATCGTATTAGTAGATAAGATTTGGACATCGTCTGAAAATCGCATTTGGACGACAAACATGTCCCGAACGATGCCGGGGGCGGATTGTGAGACAGAAACCACAACCGCTGTTACCAGCGAGGAATGGGGCCCATCACGAGGATTAGTGCTTTTGCAGTCGGCCAAGACAAAATCTAAGACCTTCAACCTATAATCGTCGGCTTGACCCACGATGAGAGGTCCGAGTGCTTCACTCAAGAGATCATATACATCAAACTGATGCTTGAGGATGCTCCCGTTGTTCCAGTGGGTATCCCAAATTTCGAAGAGACCTAGAGACGTAGCTATTACAACATCTCGTTGCCCACGCTGATGGGATTCGCCCGCTCGAACTGTAGCGATGTCTTTTCTGTAAAAGCCACCTCCAAGAGCATTTCTCAAGCTTCCAAATAATCCGGGTCTACCGCCACCTGCCGGGCTTCTCAGGAAAGAAACAGTAACTGCTGGTTTTCCTTGACTATCTCTGGTGGTTATATGAGCAACCCTTCCAGTAGAAAATAAAACAACGACACCAGAAGGCTCGCTATTTATCACGTCTGTAGCATGCTCGCCTGAGAGTAAGCCAGGGACACAGCCTTGGATGCCAGAATGCTTCTGTCTGGAGAAAGCTAAGGTTGCAGCGCTTGATATGGTTTCCCAGTATATTATTTTTCCGGTATATGGCATGACCACCATCAACCCCGGAACCCCGCCTGCAACGGTAGACAATAGCAACCCAAGGGGGGCAGTGTTACCGGGCTCTTTGCAGGACTCGGGTATTGTGAGTGTGAAAACATCTGCAGGAGAAGGCGATGGAGCTGTGTTCGAATATGCCCAGACAATAGCATGCGATTTGGTTAAAGCCAAAGCATATCCATGACTGGTTCCAAACGAACCTCTAAAAGGCCCTGCACGTCTGTGTTATTGTAGTCGTAACAGCGAAGGGGTCAGCAGTACTCGCCTGTTTGTAAACCAAGCACCTGGTCTGGCAGAGTGGGTAGCTGGGTGACGGTGTAGAACTCCGTTTTTGACTATGCATAAACCTATGTCAGATGGCTGATCCAAGGAACTTGTAGACAGGATAGAGACCGAGAACCACTTACGAGCACCACTGTTCCTTCGGCTTCATCTTCGCGCTTCTCGGATCTTTTGACAGCTCTTATAGGAATGTTCCTGTGGATGTGAGCAGTTTCTGAAATTGCGACACCTTCGTTAGATAAAGTTGACTGCTGGCGTTCCTGGAATTCGAGCTTGGCATGATTGTTGTTCAAAATTTGAGAGGCTGGCACCAAGTCGTTTTGACGGAGATTAGATCTTTGTCTTTTCGCACTAGGAGGTTTTGGTGATTCGTCTGAGTTCGTACGCTGACGCCTCCGGGGGTTGCGCTGAGAAGCTGCGGATGAGAGCGCCTTAGGTACAAACATTTTTTAGGATCAGACTCGAGCTAAATGTGTACTAAGGAGACCCTGTGTAGCTTTCTGGGCCCAGAAGCGCGCATCTGAAATGTAGCCGTAACACGCTCCTTTCGTGATGGAGAATGATATAAATCTTTATATGTAAACAATATATTATTTAAATAGCCATAATGATAGGTAGGCATGGAGGTTTAATTCACTCCGAAGGCGGTCAGCAGGTCGGATAGGAATCCAGACTCCCATAGATACCTGCAGAGTTAGTTCTACTAAACAGAATGGCACTTACTCTACTTAGTAATGTAAACATGCTTCAGTCCCTGTTCATACTTGTTGAATAGTCTATCGGTTTAGTACTCGATATCATAGAGCAGATTGTGATTCCACGTAAACATTCTCCTTCTTTTACATCGTCTTTACGCTCTGAAACTTGTGCTATCGGGCACTAGTCCAGTAATACATAGTTAGAGGATACATACCCATATATCTCCTCCGTATACCATCATCCAACAGCCCCGGAATCTTGGGGGTTAATACAGAATCCGCCCACCACCAACACCACCTATGGCTGTTGGTACTCCATATCACGTGATTCACAAGATTCCATTTCGTGTCACGGCTATTGTTGCTGCACTTACAGTTGAAAGCAGCGTGGATTTATTTGTAAGAACCATTATTGTTTGCCGATGGCATCTGAAGGCTATGTTCTGCGATAACAGTAAGGGCATTTATCTTCCTAAGGCCTACAAAAAATGCTTGCGTTATCATCAAAATCAAGACTATCTTTGGGCATAAAAGCAACCCGATACCATGTTCATTGTCGTACCCAGCTAAAACCTAGTTTCCAACGAAATTATGCCAACCTCAACCCCGCAGAGACGGCCTTGCGCACAGCTCTCTTCTTTCCTGGTTTGCATACCCTGTATCTCGAACTCGCCTTTGTTCTGACGCCTTCACCGTGCAGGTCATGGTGTACAGCGTGTGGGGATGGCAAGCTCTTGGGTTGAGAAGTTCCCCAAAATATCCAACAGATTCCTAGACGAAATGGATTCGATCTTGGGGTTCAAATTGTCTCATACCATTTCAGAAGGACCAAATTCGGAGCTCGATAAGACCGAAAATTGTCAGCCGGCTATAATGGCAACCTCAATACTAATTCTTCGAATACTTGAAGAGGAGTTCGGCTTCATGACAAGCTCACGAGTGAGTGTTACGCTCGGACATAGTTTGGGCGAGTTCTCGGCACTTGTTGCTGGAGGTTACCTCGCTTTTAGCGATGCACTGAAGTTGGTGAGACGGCGTGCAGAGATTATGTCCGAGTGCACGCGAGATGCTACCAAGAGATCAGGGGATGAATTTGGCATGATAGCACTTGTCTGTGAGCCCGAGCATATGAGTGAATTGCTTTCTACCATTTACGATTTTATTGGACTTGGCCCATCAACTTTGAAAGATGACTCGAGCCAATGGTACAAGGCATTCCAACAAGTGATGGTGGCAAATATCAATTCAAGGAATCAGATTGTACTAAGCGGCAACATTGCAAAAATAAAGGATCTGCTTATCCAGCTTCGTCAATTTGGAGGACACGATCCTCGTGCGGTGAGATTGAGATGCGAAAGTCCGTTTCACAGTCCCATTATGATACCAGCAGCCAACTACATGAAAAGTGCCCTTGAACATATGAATATCAATTTCCCAGCACGAATGCCATGTATCTCGAACGTTTCGGGCTTACCGTTCAAATCCAAGGAAGAACTCAGAGTTTTATTATCACAGCAGTGTGTCGATACGGTAAAATGGTGGGATAGCATCCGATACCTAGATCAGACCCATGCAGTAACACGCTGGATTGGCATCGGACCTGGAAAAGTCGGTAGAAATCTGGTTGGGAAAGAGGTCGGTAAGGTTATGGTGAAAGGCGGCGGTGTTTGGTCGATATCTGACCCCCTGGAGATAGCAAATGTCCTTTCTGCGTTGGACAAGACTGAGAGTGACACTTCACATGATCGAAAAGGATGACTCGTGCGAGGTGCTTCGCCCCAGAAGCTTTGTTTCCACTATATACCAATCCCATGGTGACCGGATTGGTTGAATCGTCTTGACTCCTCAATTCTCTTATCACATTTTGGACACCTCTCATAGTACATAGAGTAGCATTGTACAATGCACTGGGTAGACATTGGGTGTTAGGTACTTTGCGATCGATGGATCCCCCACAAGTGCCGGAGGCCCACGAGAAGTATCGTCATCCTGGGCCAGATGCTGTACGGTGGAGAATGCTATACTGAAACCTGTACGTATTACACCAATAATTATTGGCAAACACCAAGGGTGGGAGTCATCAATTTTACATGTGATCTTCGAGTTCAAGATCCTTCGAAGATACTGTGTAGACCGGTAGGTTGTTTGCCACATAGAATGGGTCTCATTGTTTGTTAAAAGGGAGTCACAGTCGGAAGCCATGAGTTTCCGATTCGGTTGACCTCATTGATGAACCTCTGATCTGTGATCTGCGAACTGTATGATGACACGGCTTTCGCTGTGGCCGTATGCTCGTCCGGTCGATAAAACGGATTCTGTAGCAACTGCACATATGCGGTTTGGAGAGTTCGGAAAACCTGTAGGGTATGCGCCATTAGTGATTGATGTCTAAAATCTTGTGGATTATTCAACATGTAGGACTTCGAATGCATGATGAAACACAAGAACGTACTGCTTTTAGGTCGAATTCCCTTAACCCCGACTTAGTTGAACCTTTCGGATCTTCATCAACGATGGGCTGCCCGATCAAGTCAACTATAACTAGTAATTTGACCCCCGTTGTAGAAAGCCAGCCATATGCTGCGAGTCTCTCATCGACAGCTTGCAAAAGACCAAGATCTTGGTCAATTGACGTCTGTTTACGGCGTATTTCAAAGATATCAAGGCAGGAGTTCAATATGAAGGAGAACTCAATAGTGGACTCCAGATAAGGGGGGAAGAGCGACACGTGGAGTGGATTATCCTAATTCCTATATTAAGATTGGCGTAGCAAATGAAAGATATGAAGACTCACAGCTTTCCCAATGACGCCGATACAGGCGATCTTTGGCAAAGCCATTGTTCCAGGTCAGTTATGGCCTGCCAAAGAAATCTATGCCACTGATTTGATAAGGGCCGTCAATTTCATCGTTTTTGACACTCGAGATCTCCTGATTCCTGTGTGTCGGAGAAATAGTTAGTAGTCCAGTCGCAAATCTAGGGGCTGAGCCAGTTATGTCAATGATACCTAACCCACCCATGAACACCCCATAAATACTAGTTCACTAACGTAATCCACAAGCGGATCAGCCACATGTTTGAGCCACCTCTTTAGATATCCCTCACTGGCAAAGATACATTTCTAGGTTCTTACGCCTGAACCATTACTTATATTGTAAGGGCCTAAATTTCCCAAAGCAAAGACAGAAGTACGGTATAGTTTTTCAAACTTTGATCTATTCAAATGAATCACTTTCTTTCTATTGTACATTGTAAAGTATCCATCTCTACTCTTACTCTTACACTCTCAATGGAAGATAGGAAAAGTGGGATTTCGGAAGATCTCCATATTAACCACGTAGAACCTATAATCGGAAAGTCAGTCCAGTCAAGTCTTCAGGGTTTGAAGATAGGAGGGGTGTATTTTGTTGCAGGTCCACTAGTGGATTCCATTATCTGTTGACTTCACTAAACGGTAATCTATATCTTCGAAATCCTCATGGAAACCGTCCGAGGCTACCACCAAAACCTCAAATTTATGAATACTTGCTGCATTATTCGACCCTGATCTGTACGATATCGACCTGAAAGAGAGCCCACATTATGTATCCTCTATTCAGATACACCCACTGTTGAAAGGCGTTGCTTTTTATACAACCCAGACTGCCAGGTCACCTATCGATATTATTAAACTACTAATGTTTCTGTTACGGAATACTCTTCACCTACATCCATCTATAGTACTTCGCTTCACCCAGCGATGAGATCCATGTGCTGTCCAAGATAAGGAATTCGAATACTGAGTCTTGATGACTTCAGCCAATGAAGCTCTCCAGAATCTAACTTACACTAGCACAATGTTAGCCGGTTGCCCGTGGCTCACGTGCCAATACTGTATTATACAGAGATGAATTGCAATACACTAAGCTAAACTAACTTGAACATGTTTTGTTACAGTAACTTACGGAAATTGCGTTCCATTAGTACCAATAGTGCAGAATGATACTCTTAATTTGAGCCTCGACTATCCTGATAATATCTTGCCACCATTGACCGACTGGACGACAAGCCTCCACACCTTTGACAGTTCATACAGGTTTGCACGCAAGGTATTTCTTTTATATCTCTGTGCACCTTGATATTGGGAGCGATACAGCCATGCTGCCTCTCACCGGTCGCGCCATTCCAGGCGCCATCCCAAACGCTCTTCATGGTAAGTGTTCTCCTCATTGTTACCACTAAGTTGCTAAAGTCAGGTAGTGCGACCGCGTATCACATCTTGCCAATTCCGAATCCAGCCAGTTTCATTCCTTTCGTCCTCTTCAGTCAAGTCGGCAACAGCAATCGAACAGCGGGGACAGTCTGGCCAAGCACTCACTGCTTCTGGAAAGGTGCGGAAAGAGGTGCCCTTGCCGAGCCAGGAGAAAAAGGAGGGTGCTATGCAATATGTCCTGTTCGTTACCTGAGACGCATGAGACGAATATCTTTTGTACTGATTCATCTGTAGTACCACGCTTGACCAAGTCGCTAACTGGGCACGCCAAAGTTCTTTGTGGCCTATGACTTTTGGCCTCGCCTGTTGTGCAGTTGAGATGATGCATCTTTCGACCCCCAGATATGACCAGGATCGTCTAGGAATCATTTTCAGAGCGTCACCGCGGCAATCGGATGTGATGATCGTGGCAGGCACATTGACAAATAAGATGGCTCCCGCTCTCAGACAGGTGTATGACCAAATGCCTGACCCTCGTTGGGTTGTCAGTATGGGGAGTTGCGCAAATGGTGGTGGTTATTACCATTACAGTTATTCTGTTGTTCGCGGATGCGACAGAATTGTACCCGTGGATGTCTACGTTCCCGGATGTTCGTATACCCTTCATCATCTCTGCAGTAACGGCGGCTAACGGGAACAACTCAAGGTCCGCCAACCTCCGAAGCATTGATGTACGGCATCTTTCAACTTCAAAAGAAGATGCGGCACACAAGGATCACCCGCATGTGGTATCGCCGTTAAGCTCAACTTCAAATTGACTACCTCCCTATATTCTCAAGGGTTGGAAGGGACAGGTTCGGACGCAGACTATATAAGAAGTCTCATCCTGCAAATCAAGTGTGCGCTCTCATGGATTACCGAACCCTACCGGCGCACAATGGGAGGCTTTACTTCGAACAGACACATTAGGTGTGTCATGTTATGGTTGAGCAAAGAAATCTGGCCAACATGTATTGTATGCAATAATTGCAAGCCACTTTCCTAGGTATATTAGAACGGGGTTAGGTACTAAACTGCAAATTCACTCCTATGTTACTCTGCGCTGTTGTACGGCTCACACTAGACTGTATTGTATCGTGGTGTTAATAATACTTCAACAGATCTTAAAAAACCACCACTGTTTGGCTCATGCTGCTAGAATGCTTCCTCGCTTTCATCAAAATATATACTTAGGGACTGCAGGGTCAAGGACTATCCAATGACAAGTCACTTCTCAACATTTTCATTAGGGGCGCAAATTTTTGGCATGCCCACGCATGAAAGGACTCCAATCATCAGTAACGGTGGAGGTGGAAGGGTAGCTTTTCAAAACGTGTCGTCTTTCCGCAAGGCTCATATTCATGTAGAGTATGCCCACCGACCCAATATCACAAGCCATCAATAGCGGTGGTATCTCTACGATTAGAGAGAGTAATATTAGGGGCTTTTGAGCGAGATTTCATATGTCCAGCAGGGTTTCTCGTAGTGCTTTAGAATCATATTTTGCAAACAGTATCTTTCACGCATGTTTTCTGCCATGGTACCTCGTAGGAATCGGTAAGGAACCTCTTTAGAGTGTACCAAATCAACGATAGAAACGATCGAGTTTATCGTTATGGGACAGAAATACCATATCCTATATATATGGCTTGTATGCCCACATAAGTCAGCTATACGATAAGACTTGCCATGCGACGCTGCATTTATCACAAGGAGCATTTTGTAACGAGATGTCCAAAGGACATGGCCATGGCCATGGCCCGAGCTTGCCTTCTTTCCACTGTCCCCACTTTTATGACCCAAAGTAACTGATTATCTTAGTTTCCCCTTTCACTTTCATCCTTCTTTTTTTTTTTTTTTTTTTTTTTTTTTTTTTTTTTTTTTTCGACTTACAGCTTCCTCAACCTTTATTTGAAGTGCCCACCAGCTAAAAAATACCAGGCAGTTCTTTTTTAAATACCAGTCTGATCACACCTACCATTTCAATATTTCTCGTTTCTTTAGTCTGACTTTCCGTTTTCTCGTTCTTTGATACAGCTGTCTCATGTCAGGCGTGTACCGCGCCATGAAGAACCTCGTTCCCGATCACTCTGAAGCTCTTTCTGAAGTCCAAACCCATGAACCGATTACTTCGTTCAAATCAGGGTTGACGACTCCCTGGATTTTCCTCCAACCCACGACTGAGTTGAAAACTACTATCACTGGCTCTGTGAAGTACTATTTAGATTCGTTGGCTTCGTCGGTCGGCGATTCCCAATGTGCACGCCAACGCAGGAATAGAAAGCGCAAAAGGTCCGAAGTTGAGGAAAGTTCTACAAGCCAGGCCCTGCAGCTCAAGCAACTTTATGTCGATGGCTTTACTTCTGACCAGATATGGCAACAAGCCCTGAGAATCCTTGATTCTTCAGGTGGTGAGGTTGAGCGGGATTTTACTTGGTGGTCTGCAGTGTCCAAACCATACGACCCGCCCCTGACCTCAACTTATGATTTGGCTCTTGATGACGCCGAATTAGAGGGCAGCAACCTCGACTCTCAGTCAGAGACCGATCTTACCCGATCGAGTATCGATGATGACGACCTTAGTTCAGTACACGATCACTCTGAAACCTCCCCCCACGATGATTCAGACGTCGAAGAAGACATTGAAAAATTATCCGACAATATTCCCGGAAACGACATCGACGAAGGTGAACAAGAAACGTATGTGGAGGATCCCTTCGGCTTGAATGATGGTTTCTTCTCGATAGATGATTTCAACAAGCAATCGGAACTACTCGAAAGACAAGACGTTAGTGGTGGTCCAGACAATGATTTTGAGAGCGAGGATGATGATATCGATTGGCACGCAAATCCTCTTAGTACGACAGGGTCAATGTCTTTATCGAAGGGAGACATGCCACAGGAGAACTCTGACGGGAATGGTGACGAGAATATGTCTGACAGTGAAGAGGAGGGACCAACATTTGGGGATGCAGGCCTTGAGGACGATTCCGATATGGACGAAGATAATGTCTATGCCACAAACTCCGGAGGCGAAGGTTGGATAAACACTAGCGACATAAAGTATTCTGACTTCTTCGCGCCTCCTCCGCGTAAAGTTACTCGCAAAAAGTCTCGCTCCCTTCCCAAAACTCAGCCTGATATTGCTATTACCAACGACGACGTTGATCGTGCCATGGCTGATGTTCGCCGTGATCTCTTTGAAGACGAACCTTCCGGTGAAGACAGTGATGAACATGAAGTAGCGCGAGGATCTCAGATCAATTATTCTAGTCATGAGAAGCAGCGTGCTCGCATTGCTGATGAGATTCGCCGTTTGGAGGCTGCAAACGTTGCCAAGAAGGATTGGATGCTAGCTGGTGAAGCCAGGGCTGTCGAAAGGCCTGTGAACTCGCTTATTGAAGAAGACCTGGATTTCGAAAGAATCGGAAAGCCCGTGCCAGTCGTCACAGCAGAGATGTCAGAGGATATTGAAGAGCTTATCAAGCGTCGGATTCTCGCCAAACAATTTGACGAAGTAATACGACGTCGCCCTGGTGTTTCCGACGCACTGAGCGCACGGGGAAGCCGTCCTGAATTGGAAGATACCAAACCCCAGCAGAGTCTTGCTGAATTATATGAGGCCGACCATCTTCGTGCTACTGATCCAAACTTCGTTGACCCTAAAAATCAGAAGTTGATCCGCGAGCATGCTACTGTGACAAGTTTATGGAAAGAGATCAGCTCTCAATTAGACACGCTCTCAAACTGGCATTACAAGCCCAAGGCTCCGCAGGCAAGCATCAATGTTGTCACCGATGTGGCAACAATTACTATGGAGGATGCTCAGCCGACAGCCAGCAACGCTGTCAATGGGACGGCAACCCTTGCGCCGCAGGAGATCTACGCACCTGGCGACGATAACAAAGTCGCTGGTGAAATGATTTTGAAGAATGGAACGGCAATCGCCAAAGAGGAAATGACCCGGGAACAAAAGGCTAAGTTGAGGCGAGAGCACAAGAAGCAAATCGCTAGCACCGCAAAATCTCAGAAGACAGGGAAAGCGGCTGAGAAACAGCAGCTCATGTCGGACTTGAAGAAGGGTGGAGTCAAATTGATTGGAAAGCAGGGCGAAGTGACGAATATCAATGGCGGTAAAATCAAAGAAGGTGTGAAGGAAGGTGGCCATGTGCTCAAGCTTTAGGGTTCAGTGCTGTTACGAATTGGATATATGTACCAGAGAAAAGCGGATTTCGATAGGGTCGCATACATCACTTCCTAGTAGTTTTATTCTATAGCTAGACTATCTAGACACCCCTCTTGCTCGACTTCAGACGTATCTGGTAGAGGAAAATGTTCTCCCGCCGGTAAGTCTCCGCTTCAGGGTCATCTCGGATCTCGTCCACATCAAACATCTTCCTTGCATGTTTCATGAAACGAAGGTCTGCTCTTCTACGCCTCTTAAAGCAGAAGTAACAGACCGACTCTGGACCAAGAAGATCGTTCAAGGTCGAGATTAGAAGCGGGAAGGCGGGCTCAAAGTAAACACAGTCAGCGGCGAGGATAATTGCGGGATGCTTCGGAATGCAGTCTGGGAGGGAGTCTCCCCAGTTTAGTACTGTAGCCTCGACTGTAGAAGAAAGATTGTTGAGCTTGATGTTCGTTTTCATAAGGGGCAACATGGGAGCTTGATCCGTAATGTAAATACGTGGCATCTCAGGGTGACATCCGCGTGCAAGCGCAAGGCCGACAAGACCGCCGCCGGCTCCAAGTTCAACTCTAACCAACAATCAGCAGGGGTCAATTACCCGCATACCAGGCACAAGCAGGGCGGGTTGTAAGTGAAGATAAAACTGGGTTATAGGGCAACGGACATTGTTTTACCGAGAAAGCTAGAGTGATGTTGGCGTAGCAAGTACTTCGACAGGACCATCCCCGCTGGCCATAGCTGGCCTCCACACCCTTCCTTTAGATCCTCCTGGAGAAGTAGAGGGTTTGACAACATCCCATCAAAAGAGATGGTGCTCTGACTGGCAGGCTTGAGATCCCTAACCGGGATCAACGATTCATCGATGTCTAATGAATCATCCATGTCGATTGCAGCTGGCATTGAACCAGGATCTTCCACTAGAAATGATGATGGTCTGTTACAGCACACAGAGTTAACCCAACTTGTGTTGCCGATATATATAATGAAGCAAAAACTTCGGGCGCTTTAAGAGTAATTTTGATGGATTCACACTCAGTTATAACGAAAGTGTTCCTTTTTTGGGTTTAATGGGAGGTACGGAGTGGTTAGTCCTAATTTCACTCTTTTTTTTTTTTCCCGCCCTACTTGCCCCATCGGCTTTCTAATGTCTGGAATCACCCATTTAAGTGCGTGTTATCACACTCTTACAAGGTACCCAGGGAAACGTCCACCATTAGTAAAGCTGGATTAGGAGTTCGCTCTTGGTGAGGAACAATTGCCAAGGGTCATATATAACTGATATCAAGGGCAGGAAACTGACGAAAATGAATCATGAGTAAAACCGTAAGGGAGGAGGGAGAAAAGAGAAAGAGGTGGGAAATGGATGACAGAGCGGTGGTAAGCAGGCGCTGTTTAGCAACACCGAAAACATGATAGCTTATTAACAAAATTGTTCTTGTCTGATAGCAAGCAGAGTTGGTAGATAATTATACGATGTGGTAATTAATATTAAAGCGCGCCTTGGACCTCAGGATCAACAACACGGAGATATGGATGTGGAATCTGCCATTCAAATTCTTTCCAGAAAGATGTTGTATCTCAAAATGAAAGTATATGAAATCACCTGAAATGTCACCTTAATCAGGTGCTGGCTGTTCTTTCTGGGATAACTTCGAAACTCTCAGCAGCGAGTACTACCTATGCTAAGAGGCAAACGAAGGTACCACGAACCATGCGAGCAAATTAGTCAACATGAACTTAGTTATTCTTGAACGTACAAAATGTGTAAGCTTTCAGATTAGACTACACCAAAGGGTAGTTGTACGTTGTAATTATCACTATGACAACTGTGATTGTGGATACTGCCACGACGTAACTATTAAAGTGCAAGCAGTAAAGATCTACTGCTAAGTAGGTACTGAACAATCCAGGCACTAGTATGATTGCGGCAACCCTCCGCCAAGTACGTAATAATCCTGCGCCCACTGAAAGTACTGTATGATGTCATGATAGAGCACTACCATACAAAGTATGCTCAAGGTCGTCCTCCGTCTTGCTGTGCTTCTCGTGTCTTTCGATCATAACGACGTCATTTCGTACCTCACTACGGATTGACTATGGACTTGTCCGGTGACGGTACTTAGGGGTTGAAAAGGCCAGCCTAGCCCAGCTCCGTGGCATAAAACGAGACTTGCTTGCTCGAAAAGAGATTACTTCCTAGATATAAATTCTCTCAACTTCGAAACATCCCACTCAAAACTACATCTTATCTATTGTACATCCAATCCCCTATCGGCCTATCTTCAAAATGACAACCTTGAACTGTGAGTGCCCGCCTGTCCTCGCAGTGTAGACGACGACCTTCCCCTCTAACCCCAACTCATATGAACTAACGTGATTGGCCTAGATCTCCCTCCAGTCAAGCCCTCTGCAATTGCGGCAGGTGCTATCTTCACCCACACTGCATCCCTCGGCATTCTCGCGCCCGTATTCGGCGATACCTATCACCGCGCCCAAGCAGCCAATTCGAAGGAGGAGTTCCTTAAATCTAAGGAGGCTGCTGGTGCAGTAGCAGCCTGGGGTACCTCCTTGGTTGGAAGCTCTGTCCAGACATACGGAGTAGCAGCTTTGATCAACGCCACAGGTACTTTGAGCTACAAGGGAGCGGCTTATCTTGGCAGCTTGATCTTCATGGCCAGCGCAGCCCCCGGTGTACGTTCTCCCCACCCCCTTGTTTTCTTTTTCCAACTTGCAAGCTATAATATGCTAATCTTGTGTTGATTTGTGTAGGTTGTGAGCCAGGTTTTTGCCGAAAAGAGACCCCTTGACACTGTTGCCGTAGGTGCAGTCAGCAGGTTGTTTGAAACAGTGGGACTTAGTCTCTTCCTTACTTGGTGGGGTACTCGCACGAATCCATTTTCCAGCAGCTATTAAAGCTTCTGTTGCCTCAATGTAATTTTGACAATGCCATTTTTGATAATATCAGTTGATCATATATTCGGCATATTGCTTTCCTTTCTACGTCCGTAAACTAATAATTCCATTGAAGTTTATAAAGACTTGAGTATCTCAGTATAGAGCATGCGTCATACAACTATACATTGACAGAACCTCAAGATCTCATCCTGGCATCTTTACGTTCTTCCCGTGTTTAGGTTATAGTGGATTAGCTAGTCGGATTGCCAGCGATCCTGGGTGTGAAACTTATTCTGTTCCCAGATACGCAGAATAAGCCAAATGTGCTCAACAGAGTAGACGAATTATCCGCGGTTTCTTCTACCAATGGTTCTGTCCAACTCCTTAGATCGGTATATTGGGAGCAGAATGTACCTGTAAGCTTGCGCCATTTCTTGGTGAACATACCGGTCCTTTTTTTGCCTGCCCCAATAATAGGATAGATGAATTCAATGGGATACAGAAACGACCTTACCTACAGTCATTTACAAGTTCACCAAGTATCATCTACAACCATAGTATATTTTCAACATACACAAGCATCAGGACAGACCGTCTAACAGTGTGGACATGTGATAGGAGAAAAGTAAGTACAAATGCATTTATCTCAGTAGTGCACTCAATAGCCGCGTAGACAAGCTAAACGAAAGTGCGGCAGGGGTAGCTTATCAAAGGCGTTAGCTTGATATAGATAACGAGGGATATGTCACACCTACATATTGGGATAGCCATGGTCATGGCCGAGCTGATATTTACCACCAGTAGGGTTCAAGTTGCATGGCAGCGGAGGCAAACCATTGGCGCCCAGAACTTCTTTAATTCCATTCTTGTCCTTCTCGAACAGACCAGCAAGGCCGCGCTCTTCGGCCTGTTGCTTGACAGATACCAATTGTTTCTCTCCTGCCTCACCGATCTGAAGGACGTCATCCTTGGGGGCAGCTTGACTGCCTACACTGAGAAGGCCAACAGCATCCGCCTGACTGACCGCACTAAGCCGGGGATAATTCCTCCGAGTATCACGTTTCCAGTAGGGATTGTCAGCCAAATCACCGGCCGGAACAGTAACCGGATCATCGTAGGATAGAGGAGGAAGAGCTCCAGGGGTCGGTAGACGATACTGAGCGTTCAAGGGAACACCAGTGGAGCGATTCGGGTCGACGGCAAGGAGGCGGCGAATGCGTTCCCATATCCCTGTGGATTGGACAGTATATTTCTAGTAAAAGATAAGTACCATATCCTATCCCAATTTATCACAGAGCAGCCAATGGCTATATCCTACCTTATGAACGGCTATCACATTGGATGCGGACTTGGCCGCTTTCACGATGTCGCGAGCCATGATTCCTTTTCTGTCCGTATAACGTATTAATCCTTCAAGCTGCTAATATTATAAGCAAGTTTGCTATAGTGGGTGTTCATTTACCTGTGTACTATATCGGGAAGGGAATGGGAAACCTTCAAGGGTACGTCCTTCGCCGCGCGGTCTCAAACGGAACCTGACCTGGCGGAATCGAGCCTCTACACACGGAACAACCTATTTTCCGGACAGTCGCACTCTCCCGATTATCCAATGCCACTTTTGTGATAGCAGTGGGAATCAAAGAGCTCTATTATTCGCATGGAGAAATAAACATTATTGTATTTGAAAAGTGCCGGGGAGCATGCATTTACAGGACACATATTAGGAAAGGCAGATTGTCTTGTAAAACCTAGCTCACGTGTGAGAAGCGGGCTACTATGGCCTATTACAGTTCGGGTGGGGGACATTCTGGGGCATGAATTGCGAGTATGATTTGGAACTGCATATAGTGCTTATGCCACACAGTGCTTGTAGCAATTGGCCACTTCAAAAGTCTCGATATGTCTGGTACCTATGAATTCATCAGCTACCAATTCAACGGGAGCAAACGATTTGAAGTGAATGCTGGTTACCCACTATCTTTGACTATTCAGCCTTAGCTGGTGGACTCGCGTGCCGGGTTTCGTCTTTAGAACTTTGTTCCTTCAATTCTGCAACCAGTTTTCGTGCAGCGTCAAGCGTTGCATCAGGGCCTCCAGCCTGTATTATCAAGACTTTGCCATGTTTATCGATAGCAAAGACTCCTCTAATTGTGCCTTTTGGCGACTTTTTGAGTCCAAGAGCTGCTATCAATGTAGCGGTAGGATTGCAGAGAAGAGGGTATGGCAACCTTTGTTTAGCCTTGAACGTGGTATTTGCCTTCGGCGAGTCCGCTGAAAGGCCGTAGATCGATAGGCCACTCTCCGTGATAGAGTCATAGTTGTCACGAAACAAACAGGCCTGTTTGGTACCTTTTGAAATATAAGCTTCTCCGAGATAAACGCAGATGATGATTATTTCAATGATTATAACCGCGAAACAGTACATTCATTAGAGATCACGAGTGTATGTACCCACAACAGATTATCCTGAGGGCACAGTTCAGGGAAGATGGAGATATGGGAGTAGAGATTTCCACGTACAGCCTGGGGTTGAAGCTCTGGGGTACGTGAACAGCACGACACCGGCTTTACTAGCATCGACAAGATCTTTCAGCGTGGTTTTTTGGCCATCGTTAGTCTCAATATCACCACCAAAGTTGTCCAAGTCTAGTTTGTCGCCAACTTTTGGAGCCTTATCGTTGGAACTGCCCTTAGGGACATCCGGTTCTCGAGATATCGTGGATTTCTGAACTTTCTTGACCTTTCGCTCTGGCGCAGGGGCTTGTGCTGGCGCCTTGCGCTTTCGTAGTTCAACCATATCTTGTGATAAAGAATCCAGGCGTTTGATGTTTTGCGTCCACAGAAACAAAAGGTAAGGATTGAGAGAAGTAAAAGGAAAAAACTTTGAAGATGCTGATGTGTGCCTATAAACAGCTAAACAGTGGATAAGCTCATAAATAGTGGAGTATAGGCCAAAAATAACAGGTAAACTGGCTCTCGCCAAAGGCAGGCACTGTAGTACGCATGAGAGATGTCTAAAAAATGGCAAGGATTCTAGTACAGGGGTATGTAAACAACTAGTTAGTAAGTGCTTGCCTATGTAACCAAGTAACGTATCTATCACCCATGATTTCCCATCCCCCAACCAAATTGGGGTTCCCTCCAAGTACACCAAAAGCATGTGTCTTCTTAGTGTTGACCATTACTTTTGAAACCATATGCCGGATGTTAATATTATCAAGAAACAATGCAAGCTCTTATTGGAATATTCAAAGAAGTTTGGTAATACAAAAAAACAAGGGGCCAGAGCATCCATCATTGACACTGCCATATCTTGACCTCAAGTACTTGAAAAATCCCATAGTATGAGTAAATGATTGGTAGCATAAGATGTTCATCAGGAAATTGTTTGGATATAGTAGGCATAAACTAACATCGACCCTCCGATATAGTAGCGCCTGATGTCAGATGCACATAATAACTACTAGTGTATTCTCTGTGGAGTTGAAGGCGGTCTTTTGACCTTGGCCGGGAGTCTGATTACTGTACCGGTAAATCCCGACCCTTGGCGCCACTGTGCTTGTCCAGGAGAAGAACGCGGAATCCGGGGCCAAAATTCTCAAAATTTCTACCAATCCTTCCGCTATATTGCACAAGATTGGCGATCGCCACCCTCAATCACTGCGTCCGCCTTCACAACCACTTGTGTGGAGTTCTCATTACTCATGTTGTAGTAGTTGATTATTCGCCACATCCTGAACTCCCCGTAGTTATCGAATTCATAAGAACCTATCTCCGAAGCACCTACCGCCACAGACTTGGGTTTCGCTCCCGGCCTGGCTCGCTCTCTTTTCTCCTTGGACGTGCATCTTCTTGTTCCCGAAGTGTTCTATAAGCATACGTCCACACTTTTTGTCTTTTACGATTCCAAGGGACGTTTCATATTGCAGTCTATCGACATGAGAGTCTTTTCATCGACGTGCACATTCGATTATTCGTGGGAAGAGGTTTCTGCGGCAAATTGGCGCAAATATTGTCCATGGAATGACAAGTCTACACATGTCGTGGCAGTAGACACCCTATCTCGGGCAGTCGATGCTGATACTGGCATTGTACGTATTGTCGATCGCCTTATTTTCATTCTTACCGTGCAACACTGGCTGACTGTCTTATTCTATAGCTGCGGACAGAGCGTCTGATCACCTGTAACCAATCAGTGCCGCAATGGGTTCTTTCCCTCTTTGGAGGCAGTGCTACGTCGCATGTTTACGAAGTGTCCTACGTCGATCCTATCTCGAAGAAGGTTACGATGTGTTCGACCAACCTTACATGGTCCAACGTTTTGAACGTCAAGGAGACTGTTATCTATCAGCCGTCGCCGTCAAACCCATCCTCGACTACCGATTTCAACCAAGAGGCGAAGATTACTGCCCTGTGTGGCGGATGGCAGAAAATAAAAAATAAGGTAGAAGAGGCTAGCGTGGAGAGATTTAGTCAAAACGCGAAGAAGGGCCGAGAAGGGTTCGAGGCTGTTCTTGAGATGAGTCGCCGAGTTTTCAGTGAACAACGCGAACTCGAGAGCAACAAGCTCCAATCCTAACTATAGCTGGGGCTTCGGTCTTAGTCTATCTTTTCCGTCATAGGTTTTTGAGCGTTTGCATTAACTGGCGTCTCTCTCTTCCGTCTTCCGCCTTCATCGTTATGTCTTAATTGAAGCGTTTGTTTTCTATTCCCGATGGATCTCCCCTCTGCAATTGATCCAAACCGCATCTGCTCGTGATTGTCTTTTGATGCCCTGCCTCAGCGCCTCTTGTTTTTGCTATCACGCGCAACTTATGAGACATGTACTACCAAAAGTTCTAGACTCTTCTTTCGCTCTTATCACCTTGTCTGTTTTCCCACAGCGTGTTTATTTAACATGAGCACTATATACGCACCAGAATAGAGGATTAGACATGTTGAACTAAACCCACTTCTACGTAAAGTGACTGAGTGATAGAGATACCTTTACACACCAAGGCAGTTTGCTCTCGATAATTTCAGAGTATAACATGTGATGGGGTTTTCTTGGTCCATTTCTTGCTGGCATGGTCGAAAAGAAAATCTCTCGTTTTCCCCACGCGATCTCTAAATGGAACAACTTCTCTTGACGAATACAGTTCCTTGACCGGAACGTTCACTGTGGTAGTACAGTATCTCTAGTGATTAACGAAATCTGACTTGGTCTATAACCCATTTAATTCATGCAACGGTGCTACAGGATGGATGTTCTACTACTTTAAAGGTTTGGACCAGAAGGTACCTTTGAAGTATATCGAAAGTATAGAAGTGTAGGCACCACTAAAGGTTATGCTAGGCGGGGACTGATACAGTATCGCGCCGTTCCGAATCCTACGATGTCATCCCGCCTCCTTCTCCGCATGCCACATTGCCCCTCTTCAGCCCGCCCAGTCGGGTTAGGTAGGTGGACACCCTAGGTCGTTTCATGGTCTCAACCCGTCGACAACTTCCCAAAACGCTTCAATACAAGCATAAGGCCAAAGGGGATCCATTTGAAAACTCTGGCAATTGCTTCTTAGTCTACATCTCCTCCATACGGAGTCGCCCTACAAAAATGAGCGCCACTACAGAAGACATGATCCCCGCGCCAGGAGAGTGGCCCGTGGACCCCCAAGCTGATGTACCCATTTCGGACAATCGTATCTGGGTAGACGGATGCTTTGACTTTAGCCATCATGGTATGCCACCCTTTGGTCGTACTTCACACAATGCATTAACAAGGCTGAGTTTTGTAGGGCATGCGGGTGCTATGCTTCAGGCTCGCCAATTGGGAGACGAGCTTTATGTCGGTGTCCACTCTGACGAAGCAATCCTCGAGAATAAGGGGCCGACAGTTATGACACTGGATGAAAGGTTAGTTTTTCTATATTAAGCATCCCATTGGCCTTCTGACCAAGTCTAGAGTAGCTGCAGTGGAAGCATGTCGCTGGGTGACTCGCTGCGTTCCCTCTGCCCCTTACGTGACATTTTTACCTTGGGTATCGCACTACGGCTGCAAGTATGTCGTCCATGGTGATGATATCACCTCCGACAGCAATGGGGAGGACTGCTACCGGTTTGTCAAAGCTGCAGGGCGCTTTCGTGTGGTCAAGAGAACGCCGGGGATATCCACGACAGACCTTGTTGGACGAATGCTTCTGTGTACGAAGAACCATTTCGTCAAGAGTGTAAAGGATACACTTAACGGAGAAGAAGGATCTGGAAGTCTGGAAGAGCGCAAGCATTCGGCTGATAGCCTCATGAAAAGGATTCGTGATTACGCCACTGACGAGACGGGTCTACAGCCTGGCCCGCAGGTTTGGATCTGGAACGGATCGAGTTCTGCGAAACTTGGGAACACAGTCGAGGAACCTGGTGCATTTGAGACCATTGTAAACGGAAAGTTGCCAAGGCCGGGGCAGCGAATTATCTATGTTGATGGGGGATTTGACTTGTTCTCATCCGGGCACATCGAATTCCTTCGACAGGTCTTAACGCAGGAGGAATCCGAAGGCCGTCGGCGTGGTTGGTATGACCAAGAGCAAAAGATAAAGAGGGTCAAAGAATACGGAGAGGACTATGGCCCTGCTTATGTTGTTGCTGGCATACATGACGACGATGTTATAAACCATTGGAAAGGCCTCAACTACCCAATCATGAACATCTTTGAACGCGGACTATGCGTTCTGCAGTGTCGCGTATGTTTTCCAAAAAGTCTGGCACTTTAAAGTGAAGTATCAATCTGCTAACCAGGTTTTAGTATATACATGCGGTTATCTTTTCCTCGCCGTTCTCCCCAAGTCAGTCATACCTGGAGGCCATGCCCTTGGGCGTTCCAGATGCAGTTTACCACGGTCCTACTACGTTCATACCCCTCACCTATGATCCTTATATGGCACCCAAGCGGATGGGCATCTTCAAAGAGACATCCAGCCATACGTACCAGCATGTGAATGCCGGTGAGATCGTCGACAGGATATTGAAAAGTAGGGAAGCCTATGAAGAAAGACAGCGCGCCAAACTCGAAAAGGGTGCTGTTGAGGAGTTGGTCAAGTCCAAAGAGTCGGCATCTGCCTAGATAGCAATATGTATAACAAAACTGGGCAAGTGCCCTTTCATAGAATACGAGACGATACGTAATATAGAAAACGGAGGAAGGGAGGGATGCCCGGAGATAGAGAAAACCAGCACTCCGATATTATAGCTGCTTTTGTGCACACCCAAAACAGACACACTTTAAATTCAATACGTAGTATGAGATTTGGACAATAGCGTGACAATGGCGTACGTCATGAAAATTCACATAAGCTTCTTTATCCCCCCATCCTCGACCGCGCTAGAAACGAAATGCAGACATTGAGCAACGAGCATGAGTGCATCTACTGATGACATGGTTCTCTCCTTCAGACGAAGAACGGTATGATGGTTTGAATGTAAATGTACAGTACGTGTATCGAGGCAGCTGCGCTATATCACCTTCCCGAAATTAGTCGGCCGCCACAAGGACCCCCTTCTCCTCGAGCAATTTAGCAAGTTCTCCATTTTGATGCATAGACATCAATATATCGCAACCACCGATGAACTCCTTCTCCAAATACAATTGCGGAATTGTGGGCCAGTCTGAATACTCTTTGATACCTGAGAGACCTAGTGTTAGTTGACCTGAGATAGGGATCAAGGACAGAGAGCCCATTTATAAAGCATACCCTGACGAAGTTCTGAATCTTCCAACACATTGAATGCAACGAATTTCTTCGGGTCCACTCCCTGCAGTCCCAAAATTTGTATGCTGGCCCGAGAGAAACCGCACTGCGGCGTCTCTGGCGTGCCCTTCATGAAAAGAACGACAGGTGCAGATGCGACAGCTTTGTCAATAGCTGTCCGTGTCTCCGAAGACAGATACCGGGCATAGAGGTTAGAGCGCAGCTGAATGCCAGCAAATCTGGGTTGCAAAGCTTGAGGTTGTCGGAAAAGCGGCCGAAACGCCTAATAGAAATTATTGTAAACTTGATCTGTTCATGAAGAACAAAGTAATAATAGGAGAATAACTGAGAGATCAGTAAAGTAGGGGTTCGCAGTACATACCGATGAGGCCAAAGTCCTAGAAAACATGGTAAATTATTAGCGTGTGAATTTCTAGAAATGTGAATTGATTGCCGCTGGAGTCAAGCTCTGCTTGTCTATATGCACCGAAGTCCGAGGATTTAGTAGCATTATGCGGAGAACTTAACTAGCTACACATGCTCACTAAGCAACCACTGTAGTCATTGACATTAATAAGGTATAGTTCGCAGTCATGTGATTCAAACTTGTCACAGACATGGAGTACTTTATACTTGATTAAAAAGACCAGGGAGCAGGTAACCATGCCATTTGAAAACAGTGTACAGATAGTACATTCTTTCTACAGAACTAAATCATAATAAATAATAGCTGCTACTCGAAGTATCAGGAGCGGCAAAATAAGACATCTAGTGAAGTTAGCTTATGGCTCCCCATTGTTGATCTTAGAGCAAGATCTCAACGGTGAACTTGTGAGTGGACAATTAGGGATAGCAATGTTCCATAATCCGTATTGAAAGTCTTATGTAAATGATCTTTACGTTACACACTGCGAATGCCGCGAAGGCTACGGCAGAATATTAGCAGAGTAGTTGATAAACGGGTTACTCCTCCAAAACGCCCCGCGTATGCTCTCCAAAACACCCCGCAACTTCAAGTGTGAAAATTATCACCCGCCATCCTAACATAAGCATTCATCAGATCGTTTGCCCGACCCGGCCAGGATCTTTACAAGAACCGGATGGAATCCTCACAAGCTCCATTTCACGCCCAACACTACCTGGGTGACAATAAAATCCATGTGCTTCTTGCAGCCAGCGGGTCAGTTGCGACCATCAAACTCCCCAATATTGCGGAAGCCCTTAGCCGCCATTCCAACATTTCTATCCGCATAATCGTTACAAAATCAGCGGCAGAATTTCTAAAGGGGCAAAGTCACGAGCAACCATTGCTCGAAAGTCTGCTCGAGCTTCCTGGTGTGGATGCTATTTACCGAGACGAGGATGAGTGGAGGCACCCTTGGACTCGTGGCGAGCCAATCCTACATATAGAACTAAGAAAATGGGCACACCTCTTACTCATCGCACCTTTATCCGCCAATACCATGGCCAAGATGACCATGGGTATCTCCGATAACCTTCTTCTTTCGGTCCTGAGAGCATGGGACACGACGGGAATGGTAGATGTCGGTTTCAAGGAGAAGAAGCCCCTTGTATTTGTTGCTCCTGCCATGAATACAGCAATGTGGGAGCATCCAATAACCGAGAAGCAACTGGCTATACTAAAAGGTGAATGGGGCGTGAACTCTAGCAATACTGAGGGCTGGGTTTCCGTACTTCACCCGATAGAGAAAGATCTTGCTTGCGGCGATACAGGCGTCGGCGGCATGATGGAATGGAGATCGATAGTCGGTAAGGTGGAGCAGTACCTGGGTATTGGCAAGGACGATGAACAATAAGGTTAAGTAGGGCTCCAGGGCCTGAAAAGACAGAAGTAAAAGGTTTTGTTTCTATCAGCTCTCAAGGGAAACCGGCTCCTCAACCGATTTATAAAACCCTGTGGTTTGCGCGACATAATCAAGGAGCATTCCCAGGGTAATACCTCCACCGGTGAGTAAGCAACCGTTCTTGAACCACCACCAGCAATTTTGTACATTTTTTAATTGGACTTTCCAGATCATGAGACCGAGGGAGACAGCCGCACTGCCACAACTGCCGATGAAGAAGATAGGCCCGCTTCCTGCTGCTACACCTGCAGCGGCGAGTAACGGCACCTGTACGGCGGCGAGAGCTGAAAGCACAGCTTTTGTGTTCTTTTCGTGACGAAGAGCAATAGACTTAATGCCAGCCGCAACGTCATCTTTAATGTCCATATGCGCGTATATCATGTCATACAGAACCGTCCAGGTCACACAACTGGCGTAAAGCGCAGCAGCAGCTTCCAGTGCGGCGCCATTATTGAGAAGATCGATGCCCAGCGCAGGGAAGCCCATAATTGCACCCCATGAGAAAGTAAGGCCCAGCACAGCTTGGGGGTAATATGTAACGCGCTTAGCAAGAGGATAAGTGGTCACCAAAAGAAGACTGGGTATACCGTACCAAAGGCATTGATACGGAAATTGAAGAAGAATACCGAGTCCTGCTAATAACTGAGAGCCCGTGAAAAGCACTGCTTTGCCAGGAGAAATTGCTCCTCTTGCGATCGGGCGGAATTTCGTGCGTTCGACATGCGGATCTAAGTTTCTATCCCATAGATCATTGATTGCACATCCGGCACCGCGCATAATCAACGCACCAGCAAAGAAAAGCCCGGTAGTTCCAACGACCTCCCAGACCGGGACGGACGGCGCAATGGACGCCGCAAGTAGAGTAGAGTATGCGCAGGGGAAGAAAAGGTAGTATGTACCTGTCGGTTTATCGAGGCGTAGCAGCTCAGCGTACGGTATCCATGACGGAGGCAAATAAGAAATAAGGCCTTTGTTTGGTGGCGTATAGCATTTCACTGAGGCCTGGCTTGTCGTACTATGTGCGTGGCTAATAATAAGGGCTGACCGACGGGGATGGCGGTTGTGGGTTGTAATATTCGATTTTCGGTAGGCCGATTGAATGCTGTTGGTCGCAGTATAACCATATCTCCTAGAAGATGATAGCGAAACTGGACCAGCATGTCCCTGTATAGGGATGCATCGGTATATATATATGCTCCTTTCCCTAGGATAGCGACATAATCGTGCATGCCGGCCGGCTAACAAGCAAGTGGCCCAGGCACTCATCATGATCCGGATGGGGATATCGAGACGATGGTGCGTAGCAATTGGCACCGTGTATGGCCAGCAGTTTCAGTCTTATTGTACCCGGAGACAACGAATCGAACTGGCACGGCGGTTAGGCAGATGAAATCCGTACGCCAACCAGACTAGACGCTATCCGAGCCAATTGACCAGCAGGTGAGAAGAATTGAAGCAGAAAAGGCGTAAGACGAAGCTATCACCGAGCAATTCCCATACCAGGAGCAGAAGCTTCCGAAAATCAACCCCCAAGGAAATTGATCGGGAGAGCAAAAGGTTTATTATGATGCGCGAAATTTAAGGTATATTGGCGTCCGGAGGTGTTCTCGAGCCTTTTTCGGCAGTGGTTCCATGCGTTCCTGGGCCCGGCGGACGGGACCCACATGCCACAATCGCGGATGCAGCTGCAGCCAGAGTGAATCGAGACAATCAACAACCGCGCGGTGTCAATAGATGTTAAATGCTCTTTTTGATTTCATCATTTGGGAAGCGAGGTACAGCTTGAGCAGAAGGCGACTGCTTTTTCTGTCTCAAATTTGTGGTGTTACTCGCCTGTTGCTCGCTACTGTGATGACCGCGCGATATGCGTCTGTGGGCAAGTGATGAAGTACGCCCTACCGGACTGTTTCTTGAAGCGCATTAACCTCGGTCCCACGAAGCCTGAATACCTCTCGCGGGCGATATCCATGAGTGGTCTGGTGTACGTGCACTCCGACAATTCTTTACACGATTCCCGGAGAACACAGCTTCTGCGCAGCTGTCCATTCAGAAGCTTTCTATTTAGGAGTATGCTATATTACGGGGAGCAAAAAGTGTTGGCTTTGTCTAATATCGCAAAATAGGGTGATCGTTATTGTTGAGAGTGAAAGTACTGGAGACATCGCCAATTATACCAGATAGTTGGAACCCCGTCAGGATGCCCGCCCAGCGACCCCGAGCGGCTTTTGAGCCACTTTCTCCAGACTTGGACCTCACAGCACTTGTGAACTCGACACCAAACTTTCAGGAAGCTGCCAGGATTCACTGCGATATGATTGATGAGAATGGGCTAGAGATATTTGAGAAGCTCGTCTTGCTCCATGTGGTTCGGGGCGGAAAGCCTTTGGTAGTCGAGGGCTTCAATCACCGGCTCAATAACACGATCTTCTCGGAGAAGTGGCTAAGAACTCACTATTCATCAAAAAGTGAGTGAGTGATGTTTCCCTCGTCTATGCTGACTTCCTTATCTAACTCAGAGCCTCTACGACACAGCGGAATGTGCTCGGAATTTGACCACAAAAACTGATTTACCTCTTACTATTGGCCATTACCTGAAGAACATGCCCCTTCTAGCAAACCAGTGGACGTCATATAACTACAAAGATCCCGAACGTCAGAGAATCTATCTCAAGGACATTGACTGCCCTTATCAGTGGCGCGAGCAATTGAAAAGGATAATCCCCCCCGGATTATTTTACTTGAATCAGTTTCAGGAAACCTTTGACGGTCCGGGAGCGAAGAGAAGTACATCTTCCAACAAAAATAAAAAGTCTTCGGGATCAAATGGCCCAATAGCCAGACCTGGGGATCTTATGAGTTGCCTCCCTCCTAGCATGCGTGCAGAAAATCTGATGTGTTACATTGGCCACGAAGGTACCTATACACCAGCTCACCAGGAAATGTGTGCTAGTTTGGGCCAGAACATCATGGTGGAGGCATCGGATGGTTCCGCTGAATATGGTAAAGAAACGAAGCCGGGGTCGTCTATTTGGTTCATGACCGAGAGCAAAGATCGCCGGGTAGTCTCGGAATATTGGATGTCAACTCTAGGCCACGATATCGATCTTGAGGATCATTTTGCGCAAATAAATGCGTGGAAGGCAGCGCCTTTCAAGACTTACGTTGTCGAGCAACGACCGGGCGACTTCATCCTCATACCCCCTTTAGCAGCACACCAAGTGTGGAATCGAGGGACAAGGACAATGAAAGTGGCTTGGAATCGTACAACCCCGGAGACCCTGGAGAAAGCGCTCACCGAGGCTCTTCCTCACGCCAGGATGGTTTGCCGAGACGAACAGTACAAGAACAAAGCGATAGTGTTCTACTCATTGGAGCATTACTCGGCCATCCTCCGCAAGGCAGATACAGTTGACAGTGGTGATTCGACACTTCAGCAGATAGTTAAAGATTTCGAGCACCTTTTCGGTCTCTTTACTGACATCATCTTGTCTGAGAGTTTCTCGGACCAACTATCCGAAGAGGATGTTGAATATGTTGCTTTTGACAGTAATATTACCTGTTCATACTGCCGGGGTAATATTTTCAACAGGTTTCTAACTTGCCCGTCTTGTGTGGGACCAACGAACACAGACGAGGAAGACACTTATGATATTTGCATGGAATGCTATGCGATGGGCAGGAGCTGTGCTTGCATAGCTAAGCTTAGATGGGTTGAGCAATTCCCTTGGGATGAGCTTCAAGCCAAATATGAGACCTGGAGGCTGCAAATACTCGACATCAACTCTCAAGCCCGAGAAACATTCGTGAGTCTCCCGGCGCAAAGGAGCCGGCTGGAGAAGAGAACACTTGCAGAGGTTTGCCAATTGGAACTCGGGAGGCGGCCATGGGTCGACATAAGTAAGCCAACCGTTCAGTCAGAACGGCTGGAAGAGCTGGAAAGTGATTCAGAGCGACTTGATTCCGCGCGCAAACGCAGGAAAACTCGTCGGGTTGACGCACTCCAGCAGACTGGGAATTGCCATATTTGTAGATATGCCGAGCCAAGGTGGAAGCTTGCCTCCTGTTCTAGTTGCCGGGCGAATTACTGTTATGGTAGCTTGTTTAGGGCTTTCAATATAAAGCCGCAGGAGACAATGGAGGCATTCGAGTGGAAGTGCCCAAAGTGCCGCAAGATTTGCAGTTGTGCTACATGTCGTCGCGATCCTACGATGACGCCCTTTGAGCCGACATGCACATTGTTGGGGCACGACACTCGGAAGATAGCCGACCCTCGAAGTGTGGAGAGCTTGGTGGATTTCCGACAATCCAACCTCAGATGGCTAAAGAAGGCCGGCGATGATGAGGTCAAACGGCTAAAAAAGCACCAAAAAGAAGCCGACGAGAAGCGTAACCAGTCAATGGTCGAGCATAGCATTCAGCTTGAGGAGGCGCCTTCGGTAACAGAGTATGCGCCTGACTATGGCGATATACCGGTAGATCCGGCCCTGGAAAAGCTTGACGGCTCGTTTATGAGTGTACCTGATCTCTCCGGCCAGTGACAAGTTCCAGGGCGCTGCAGCAATTCCCCATGTCGTTAAAGCTCTATGCATGTCGGGCGTTATACTTTTTTTTTTCTTCTATTGTTTTCACTTTTCCACAAATAGCGAGCAGGCATATCTTGGCATTGGTATCAGCGGACGAATTCAGGATCGAACTTAAGTCTTGCACACTCGCTGAAATATCGAGACCATGAGCGTGTAACTGTCGCCCGCGTCTTGTCAGGTGATTGCCCGTAGAGCCGTGCTTGACCCAAAAAGGCTGTACGATTGTAGCATGCTCTATGCTCCTTTGTACTCATAGCGGAGATTCTCAAGAGTCTTAAGGTCAACCGAAAGCATGACCTTGCGTGCGACTAGGACAGCCGCAAACATTGCTATATCGTGTCAGTACTCGTCCGATCTTTCCACCAAAGACTCAGAGCAGCTAAGCAAAGCAAGGATGCTGAAGATCACCTACCTCCTGGAACCAAGTAGATAACCGGCTGGATCTCCAGCCAGGATTGCGTTGTGGGTTGGGAAGCGTAGACCAGGGCCAGAAGCACGCAGATCGCAGCATTGACAGGCAAGATGTATGGCCGGATGCTCGCCATAGCATGCGGTGTGGCCATTGGTCTCTTGCCCTTAGGATCCGGGCGTTCGAGTGGGAGATACTTCATGATATAAGCTGTGACTAGTAGAGATAGAGCACCGAGCAAAGAAAGGCATCGTTCAGATAGGCTCGAGGAGCCCGACAGTATTGAAGCAATAAAAGCGAAGCTGGAAAATAGCGGGATGGCGGCGAAAACGATCTATATAAATGCGTCGATTGGCACTCAGCAAATGCTCTCATTTTTAGTTCGATTGTTTCCTGTAGGAGATATATTTACACTATATTCAGAGTTCCGCTTCTCATCCAGTGCTTTCAGCTGCTCTATCACACGTTCCTGCTCTGTCGGACCGTCAGCAACGTCGTCTAGAATGGCTTCCTGCCTGGGCATCTGACAGTGCATACCTTCTTCGTCCAGCTCCTCCCGACTGTGCTCTTCATCGCCTGAATCGTCAGGGTAGCGAAACGCTCTGCGAAGCCTTGCCGTTGCCATCGCTGCAACTGTATGTCTGCTGTGAAGGTAGTAGAGAGCACTAGAGAGTTGGTGATGACGTCGCTCAGGTCTAAAAGCACACAAGGTCCCTTTAGCTTGGGCGTGAGTTTGTCTCGTTTGCCAAGGGTACGGGCCGTTTTAGTTCACCATTCCCGCCTCAGGTTTCGGACTTCGGAGCATTCAGCAACCACGGCCTACTACCACTGCCAATTCCCGCGATACAATAAAGCACAGAGGTCACGCCACACCGCGCAAGACACACGGCACACGTCGAAAGCCAATTGATCTTTAATACTTCTCAAAGATGCTCCTACGACTCGCAGAGAGGCGCATCGGCGCTTCTCGACTATGCGTAAATCATCGCGGAATGCTCCCTCCCCGGCGCAACTTGATCCCCGCACCACAGGCGAACTCGGGCCCTCTTATGGAAAGACGGGCGGACAGAGCTCTACCCAATGTTCAAAGCGAGAGGCGATGGCTACGAACCTTGCCCATCTTTGCTGTTGTCGTGGGGGCCGCTATGCTGGGTATATTCAACTACCAGAAATCTTCCTCCAGTGTGGTTAACAGTACGCTGTATGCGCTGAGGACTTCTCCGCAGGCGAGGGAGGTTCTGGGTGATGAGATTTACTTTGCTCAGAAGATCCCGTGGATTAGTGGAGAGATGAACCAGCTTCATGGTCGCATTGATATTTCATTCTGGGTTAAGGGTACCAAGGCCCAGGGTAAAATGCGGTTTCGCAGTATTAGACCTGACCGGACTAGCTTTGTTCGTCTACCCCATAACCTTTCTTTCTGACCTAAGTCTTTGCTTTTGGTTTTTCAAAGGTTCAAGAACACCTACTAACGTTCGTTCTATAGTTCCGCACGGAAGTATGGAGCTTGGAAACCGAGGATGGCACGGTTATCCAGCTACTTGACAAAGATACCGATCCCTTCAATCAGACCAATTGATTGACTCGACTACTTGGCCCTCTTTGTTCGGGCTGTATACTTGCTTGTTACGTGGTGTTTGGAGATTTGTGCATGTAAATATATCATATCAGTCATGTGCATTGGGCTAAGGCGTTCGGGCTTCGGAAAGCGTCTCACTCTCCCTTTCCCCCACACTCATCCTCTCATTGAGCTGATTTATGTCTCTTGTGTCGGAGTGGAAGCGCTATTTGAGAGCGCCTATCAGGCGGAGAAAAATATAGGAACCACCACTTTGGAAAGGGATATCATTTATGTATCATATACAGACGCCGCTCTTAAAAAACAATACAATGTAGTAGTAGTACATTTGACAAAAGATCACAAGAAGAACAGAAAGCGCGTGCGGTTGAATTATTCAGAAGCCTCAGTAGTCGCAGGGGAAGCTTCCGGCCACGGCTTCTTAATAGCATCCTGTATCCGGACAACGCAGCCCTTGGGACCACTGACGGATCCTATTAAAACCCAAAAGTCAGCATCAACTTTTACATATATGAAATCCACTTAAACAGAGGAGTATTTCGGGGTATCCTACCATTGACCACAACAATTCCATTCTCAGCGTCCACCTTCAAAATCCTCAGATTCTGAACCGTGTTCTGCTCATTACCCATGTTACCCGCCATCTTCTTTCCAGGGTAAACACGAGAACCACCACCCTGACTAGGACCAGCGGAACCAAGCGAACGATGCGTCAAGGATACACCGTGACTGCGATCCTGACCACCGAAACCATGTCTCTTCATAACACCCGCGAAGCCCTTACCCTTCGTATCAGACCTCGCATCAACGAACTGTCCCTCCTGAAACCAGTCCGCACTGACAGTCTGCCCAACAGGCAAAAGCCCGCTCTCATCCTTAACCCGGAACTCATAGACATGACGCTTGGGCGAGATGCCATTGGCAGTGAAATGACCGAGCAGGGACTTGGTCAAGTTATCGGGACGCCTCCATCCAGCACCCAGCTGAACAGCATAGTATCCATGCTTCTGGCGAGTCTTGTGCGAGACGACTTCGACTCGATCGAGCTGCAGCACGGTGCAGGGAACACGTTTGCCGGTCTCGGGGTCATACAGGGCGGTCATGCCCTTCTTGAAGGTGATGGCACCGGTCCGCAGGGGAAGGGTGTTGGCCTTGCGCTCGAGGGCGGCGGTGGGTGTCGATTTCAGCACGGGCAGGTCATGGCTGACGTTGAAGCGCGAAGTCTCCGGGGGGTTCAAGGACCGGATACCGAAGGAGCGGACTGAGGTGATGGACAATTGGCTGCTGCGGATGGAAGAAGTCGGGAATTGAGACGCCCAGATTGTCGTCAGGGGAAGCTGGGAAAGCTTCCGGGGCATACGAGGGGACATGGCGAATGGAGGTGATGGGGGAGGTATATACTCTCAACTCTCACTTCTTTTCTGCCGCTGAGATTTTTGGCAAGACGTGCGGAGACCCCGTCGAGGATGGGCCGGAGAGCCTCGAAGGCGGTGTGTAGGTGCGCGCGGCGCGGATGCCAGTTTGATGCCTGGCTATGATCCTCAGGCATTGATACATGCGGGTAAACATGGGTTACTCTACTTAGTATTGTATGAACGCTTAGTTACCAGCGTACCAGTAGACGTGCAAAAACTACACTTAAAGGCCTAGTAGTGCTCAGGTGACGCCTTCAAGGTCCTAAGCCGAACAAACGCCGAAGAGATGGCGGAACTTAACACCACAAGCTTGGAGCATGCATTCTTCGAGCAGTCGATCCATGCTCCGATTGCCAGTTGCCAATCGGGAACCGGACTCGCCGGCACGCCGATGGCGGCGCCGAAGTGTATAAAAAAAAGACGGGAGGGAAGCTGATCCTACGATCTGCTGCCGCAACGTCATCCCCAATCTCACTTGCATTCAGGCCTGCATTGCCGTCTCGGCTTCTTCTGCTTTCTAGACCGTCGCTATCCGCGAGTATATAAGAAGAGGATTTCTTGGTGCTTTTGCCTGTCCATCTACCCCCACGATTTGTCCGTTCTTTTCCGAAGACCCTGCCGGAAAGACTCACAACCTCTTACAACAAAGCCACGCACCCCCATTCGCACGCACTCGGACAAAACCACCCTTAAACCCAGAACAAAATGAGCTTACGACAGTCTCACCTATCGCGCCTGTTCTCTCAAGCGTCGAGAATTCTCCAAAATGCGCCACCTGCATCCACAACAACAAGGACATCGTCCCTATCCTCCTCCCCACTCCTAAGCCGCGCCTTCGGAATGCCCAGCAGACGCGCATTGAGCTTCCAGACCCGCAGCCCCTCGTCCTCCTCCCAAATGAGATTTAGGAGCGGCCAGATTCAACAACCAGGGAACATCTTCCGACGGTCGTTCTTCCGGTCCGCTCGGTCAAACAGCTCAGCGCAATCAGAGCAGCAAGCACCCTCTCTTTCACAGCGGCTTCGCACGCTGTCGAAGGAGTACGGATGGTCCGCGCTGTGGGTGTATTTGATCCTGTCGGCGGTGGATTTCCCGCTCTGTTTTATGGCTGTTCGGTTGGCTGGCGTGGAGCGGATTGGCCACTATGAGCATGTTATTTCGGAGTCGGTGAAGGGGGCTATTCGGAAGGTGTGGCCTCCTTCGGAGGAGGAGGAGAAGGCTGCTGCTGCATTGCAGAGTCAGGCGGAGCAGGAGTCGAAGGAGGCGAGTGAGGATAAGGCCAATGGTGGTGAAGCTAGTAAGTGGCTTTTGCTTTTCCCCCTTTGCTTTGGATGCATCCGCAGGTATAAGAGAGGTGTCGGCTAATTACTTTGCTTCATTATTGAACAGGTCTCTGGACGCAACTTGCCCTTGCCTATGCGGTTCACAAGAGTCTTATCTTTATCCGGGTGCCCCTGACGGCTGCGATCACTCCCAACGTTGTCAAGGTCCTGAGGGGCTGGGGCTGGGATATTGTCAAGGGTAGGCCGAAGGGCATGTAGGTGCCATTGAAGATGTGTTTGAGTATGATGGTTGGGACGATTAATGCCGGAAATGGCTCTGCGAAGAGTTTTCAAAACAAGATATTATATTTATAGAGATGTACACTAGCTGTTACATATAATTTTGCAGGACGCGCGCGCAGTGTCCTTCTCCACTCAGAGATATTGAGCCGGGTATTTCTGTCAATCATGATCGCCAAGAAGGACGACAGGGTACAAACGTTCAAGAAAGGATGAGACGGGACATTAAAGGATAAAGGACATCAGTCTAGAGTATCCAAAACCCACAACATGTAGCAATATTGAGTCAAGCGTTATGAAAAGGTAATGACACAAGTTCGTCCAGGCATGCAGTGCAAGAAATAGCGAATAGACCCGACCCCATGTAAAGAAATGACCTCACAGTGAAACAAACATATATGACTGACATGATTACAATAATTCGGGATCTGTTGACGCCCGAGATACATATCGACGAAAAGGTCGTGAAGGAAAGGTGAGATGTATGCGAAGGAGAAGACTCGAGACGGCGTATCACATGTCAATCATATCGTTGAATTTCAGGATGCCATTGGCTTTCATAACACCATTCACACCGTCTGGCATCCTGTATGCCCATTCAGCCACGCCCAATGGGCTCGCGACTTGCATGGCGTCTAGTTGGTCGGGTTGCTCGGAGTCATCGGAGGTATCCGCGACTAGCACGAGGCCAAGCTCCTTGATAGTTTCTACAAGCGCCGGTACAACGTTCTATGGCATCAATTTGTTAGTTTTCGATCTCTTGGGCAGACTGTCGTAGAGTATCAGTGTGGGAAGCAGACGAAGCACAACATACCAAGAGACTAGAACGGCATATCAAGCCCATGAGATTGTTACTTTGTGCTATCCGCGCAGATTCCTTGATGGACATAGAAGCTCGACCACTACTGTCAACGTCTGGCAAAGACTTAACGTCACGGGCCAAGTCGCGGATTTGGCCAAGATCATTGCAAAGAAGGACGGGGTCTGAGATAGGAAGTGAACATTAGCCATATTGCTTCCAAATGATGCCTGTAAAGGCATGGATAACTCACAGTTCGGTTGCTTCCAGTTCAAAGCAATGCAGATATTGGGGTTATAGGAGGTAAAGACCACAGAACGCATGTAGTCGGGGTTATGATCCCGCGAAATACGAGCATGGTCAAACACTTCGGTAAGAATTGCATCGGCAAAGGTGTTGACATCCGCCAAAGACGTCATGTTCAACGCTCGCTCCTCGGCGGCAGAGGGGTAGAGGATCGACAAGTTGATGCTGACACTGAGTGGTAGATGGTGGAATACGTCTCGCAATGAGAGGAATGATGAGGCCAGCAAGCGATGAGCCTGTGTCAAATCCTCCACCGCACGCGTTTGCAGGAATTTCACCATTTCCGAATGATTTATACCCCTTTCGGCGCCCATTGCTTGGAACTGGGCATAGGTTAGATGGCAAATGGGGATTTCGATGTTGTGATGGCCAATGGTAAAGTGAGGGTACAGAACCGGAACCCGATCCTTGGTGAGTTGCACGAAAAGCTGAACATGGTCGCCTGAAAGGCTAGAGCCGGTGACTAGGCCGTTATGCTCAGGATCAATAGCACTTGTTGCCTTCCAATAAGTGGCGAAGTGGGTAATCTCCAGAGGATCTCCGTGATACGGCTTGATAACCTGGAAACCGAACTGAAGCTGGCCGATCGAACGTAACCTAGGATCAAACAAGGGCAATGTACATGTCCCGGTACTGGAATTCTCAGCTCTAAATACTGTCGGTAGAGCGACTGTTTTGGCGATGACCTTGGAGCCAAAGGTGGGGAAAATCTCGAAGTCAACGGCGAATGACTCTAGGTTATCCACGTGGAATGAGATCATACGTGAATCCTCTTGAATCGGAAGCATAATCGTGCGGGGAATCAAGTCAGAGAGTTTGGATGAGATGGTCAAGCGAGCAGCAGGGTGCCGGCCGGCCTGATCAAAGCAGATCGAACCAGATGCGCCAGTGTCAAATAATATCTGAACAAACACTTTCTTATCCAAAAAGTTGTGGCCGTATCGCCTCAGGGGTATGATAGGCGGTGGAAGAGACAAATCAGGGATACCGTCAGCGGTCTCCATGTCACCGGTTTCCGTTGCATCGCTGATTTGCAGATCAATGTTGTGGCTTGCCTCTGCTTGTCTCGTACCGTTCATAATGTCGAATGGTGTCCGCGCGGGTCGTGAGTCGGTGCGGATAGACCAAAGCAAAAGCATGCATTCCAAATGCCCTTCCCAGGCCGCATAATACATCGCCGAGAGGCCCTTCTCATCAACAGCACTGGCGTCGACACCTAGCTCCAGTAGAGTGCGCAAACAGCCCACGCAGCCTTCGCTGGCAGCATGGAAGAGTGGTGTCCATTGATACAACTTGTCACGCTGATCCATATCAGCCCCGTATTGCTTGAGAAGTAGGAGTAACTGCGGCGACTGCGAGGCTCGTGCCACCATGTGCTGAGGATAGAGGCCTTCAGCGTCTGGAAGCAATCGTGCACGCCGCTGTAAGAGCATTTGAACTATCGAAAGCGATCCATGCTGACAGGCAAGATTCAGCGGAATATGATCGGACTCGGAAGCGGGGTCGATGCGGGCATTGTTGTGAAGTAGTTGCTCCGCACATGCTAGTTGATCTTTGACAATGCTGTGAATCAAGGGGGTGAAATTATCATGATCCATCACATCGACAGTATGAGGTCCTGCAGCCAGGAGGTCCCGCACCATATCCACGCGGCCATGCATACAGGCGTAATGAAGAGGAATCCGGCCGTAAACGTCGGTCCTGGAAACATCGACACCGGCTGTCAGGCCAGCCTTGAAAACAAATTCACGACCAGAGATTGCTGCTTCGTGCAAACAATTGCGCTCATTGATGTCATCTTCAGCTAAGATGTCAACCAAGCCGCTCTCCAAAAGAACCGCTAGTACATCGTCGGAGAACTCGTTGATGGCGGCTAGGAAAGTGCGGGTTGCGCGGGCATGAGCATCAGGAGACGACTGCAACTTGGCAGTCCATTCGCGTAGCGTCTGCAAGTTCCCTGCCATTGCAGATTGGAGAATCTGCAGGTCGAGATCTTCCTCATCCGTGCCGAAGGCCTGAACAGCCATAGCCCGGTCCACCGGACGAGCTGTATCAAAGTGAATGTTTTCGCCTTCTGCCCATGCTTCAAGCTCTAACCTGGCTGTCGTTGCTCGGTCGGACAAGTCACGCAAGACATCACGATTGAAACATGGTTGTACTTCAACAGCACGGTGCAGGTACAGCTCTTTCATGCGAGACTATAGGGGACACACAGATGAGTAAATGGCCGCACGTTATCAAGATGGGATGAATGGATCCATGAGGCGTGGGGTATGGGTGACTCGGACCTTTGATGTTTTATCCCACTAACTGAACTGTTAGCCATGTCAAGACCAAGGGAGCTAGCGGCTGCGTTTCTTTCTATGACGAACCTTCTTCAAAATTTTCGACATCGCAGTCTCGTTGATCTCGACGAATTGCTTTTCGGACAGTGGTTATCAGTATGCCTATCTCCATGACGCCTGCCGAACACCGAACGAACTCACTTGTAACTTGTTCAGGTCACCATCGAACTGCTGAAACCCTTCAAAAAGGGCAACGAAATTGGCAGGTGCTTTTGAACTGGTCACTGCCCGCGATTGTATAACTCGTTTCTTGTCAACTAGCGTTTTCAGCCGTAACGAGAACTGCCCCGCGTCATCAGCCCATCGTGTCTTGGAAAGGGAACTGCAAAGGAGTGCAAACCTCGGCTTCCTTCTGCAGATAGAAAGCGTTGACTTTCTCGATCTCTCGCTCCTACACAAATCACCAATGAGTCCCAATTCATCCTGCGCTTGGCAGACTTTCTTACCAGACGGAAAAAGAACACCTCCTTGTTCGCGCGAAGGGCAGCTTGCGCTTCGGGGACATTTTGGGGGACACCTGCGGCGCTCTGAGCGGGTATTGTCGGTGTCGCACTAAGTTGTTTGATAAGCTGTCATAGATGTCAGCTGTGACGAGATATGGTGTGTATCTGGTGGTCTAGGGAGACAGAAAGGCGAGGTACTGAAGGGGCAGAACACTGAGTATAAGACCGACCTTTTTCAAAGCCTTATAATTCACGAAGCTGGCGGCATATTCGGGAAGGTCAAGCTGTCTACGCTGGATCTGCTTGCCGAACTTCCTGTAACCCTGACTGTTAGTATTCCAATGGCGGACGTGACGAGCTCAAATTCCAGGGCCGGTGAGCAGACATGGACTCACATCTTTGGACGCTAGCTCCGCGCGAAGGCGAGAGAGCGATGTAACCGGACCCTTAATGCGCTGGTGCCCAGTTGAGGCAAAGGCGGAGGGGCTTAGATACAAAACTGAAGAAAGAGACCGTGGACAGCAGCAATGCCAGAGCGGAAGGAGAAGAAGAAGAATGGCAGCGAGTGCGAATATGGGATGAGAAAGTCCGCCCCTCTCTTGAGCTCGGCCGGCGGGATGGAGGGCGAGAGAGAGAGAGAACGAGGGAAGACTGGACTAGTCTTGAGGGTGGGGCGTCAACAAGAAACCCAGGGGACGGGGAAAGAAAGGCAAGGACACCCGTCAAAGTGACGATCGGCCTGATCCAGGTACCTCCAGACGTAGGTAGTTATATCCCGGAATCCTGGTACCTCCGTCGTGCACGTCGTTCCTTCGCACCGGGGAGAAGAAGTGAAGCAGCGGCGGCGTCGGCGTTGGCGGTGACAAGGACAGGTAGACAGCAGACAGAGAGTGGATGGGAGATAGACTATGGCTGACTGGTCCGGTAATAAGATCTAGTATCACTATCTACTCCTTAGGTAGAGAGAGAGAGAGACCTCTTCGTTCCCTCACAACTAAATGGTATGCCGTGTTCACCCGGAAGGGCAGACCAATGCGGGGCACCTGACCCCGGCGGGGCACAATTGGGAGGGGTGGGAAGAAAAGAAGAGGGAGAGAGGGAGGGAGAGGGAGGGAGAGAGAGACAGGCAGAGAGAAACAGAGAAGCTCAAGGTTCAGTGAATCCAAAGAGACGCGGTAATGGGGGAACGCGCTCCTCTCATTAGATGCCAGAATAGGTAGGGTCAACGTCAAGTTACGTCGAAAAAAAGGAGTGGGGAGCTCTGGAGAAGCTGCCTCCGGTCCAATCACCGCCCGGAATGTGCCCACGTTCCCTCTATCGCCGGACGACAACGCTTCAATTCGCGGGCTTCCATGGCCAGCGTGTTCTACAAAAAGTACACTAACAAGGAACTGACTCGTTACTACTTGCTTGGTCTTTAGTTAGTTAAAAGTACACCTGGACTTCTTCGGGTATCATTGTTTTGAAGGGACAGCCGGGCTCAATAGGTATCCCATTGGTACCTACTTAAGATACTACAACTCCGGACTTACTTACCGCAGGCGTCTTTCTTCATTCCATTCCAGTCTTGGCGGCACCACCCCTGCGTTGTCCCACATGCAGCCAATCACTTCTGCTGCCGAGACATGCAGGATATACTTTGCTTAGTACTCTGGTGCATCAACTGCGACAATCATCCGATCCTATCCTTCTATTAACTCCTGTTTACGTGTTTGCAATGTGCGGCACCTTTAAGCCATAAGGCTTGAAGTACCTAAGTTATACTATACCTCGTGGACTTGAAAAGCAAAGGCAGGAAGAAATGTGTTTTTGATTGTATTAACGTGCTCCCTTCTCAGGCTCTTACACTGACCCATCGATCCCTCCTCCCCATCAAGTCTGTTGGGCATAATTCACAGGTGTCCTACGTCCTCAGCCCTACGTAAAGCACTAGCGAGTCTGCTACACCAATTGCATCAAAGCAACTTCAAGATGTCCGTGCGGGCTATCCCATACCCTGTGCCGGGGCCGACGTGACATTCTTCGATTGAGAGTCTCAATGGTCCAGATCTCACCACTGTCTAGTGTTTCAAACCACTTATGCTTAGACGCTTCGGGCTTATTCGAATTCTAGGGATTCGGGAACAGAAAAGTTCACAATATGTATTCCTCAAGCACGCTATCCTCCCCATGAACAGTCCACAATGCGATTGCATCCAAATGTACAGGTGAGATGCCCGCACTGCGGTGGCCTTGACCCACAATATATCCAGACCCGAGCAAGACACTTTAGACAAAATCGAGGCAAACGGAAAATAAAAATAGGGATAAGGAGGCGGGTAAGAAAGTAACAAAATAAGAAGCCCTGGTTGCCTTGTGTGAAGGTCAGGCTTCTATAGAATCATAAATGTACAATCACAAGGCCGAGGTGAACGAAAATAGAAAATGAGAAAAACAGGAGGGATATATCCATATACCAAAATAACGAGGGCACCAGTTGAAAGACAAAACGAGGCAATTGAAATGAAAGAGGTATTTTGAGGTCTAGGAAGGCCACAAAAGAAACAGTGAGCGAGAGATTGAAGAACAAGAGATTCGTGATGCTGCACTTTGAACGCTATCCGAACAGTATGGCGGCAAAGTTTCTCAATTTTCCAGGCGGGGGGGTTTTGGGGTTTGTAGGCACGTTTCGTTCCATGCCACAGGTCTCGTGACCCTAAACAGCAATATGAAGACAGCCAATTGAAGGCGATTGAGTGTTGAATACGCGTATATCGACCGCCACAATGACTGTTGCATCTGGGCGTCCAGCTTGCAATGTCCACTTATCAATGCGGTGAGGATAGAGAAAGCAGGAGCATCTCAGAAATTCTGCGCAATACCAGCATTCCCTTGTCTAGGGAACACGGCAGGGTTCTCAATGCGGGTATTGCGCCGCGCCTGAACATCGCGAATGACAGGCGGAGCTCCACCATACGGGCCGTCACCATATGCTCCATATTGCGGTTGCATATCATTATAGTACGGATTATCGTCGTAGAAACCTCCTGAGGGGTGAGTGGCAGACATGTGACTCTCTTCGGACGCTTCAGAATGGTTGGCCGCAGAGTAGGCTGACGAGGCGTTCGATGGACCACGGTGGATATCGACATTTCGACTGTTCGCGGCGGCTGCTGGAGCAGCACCCAGGACTCCAATTGGTTCAGTCTCCCCCAGTGTACCTTGCCCTTCGGAGTACTGAATTGTCCCATCGCTCGGGGTCGCTGCATGGTGATAACCAGGAGCGCTTCCAGCCTCGGACATCGCCAGGCCGACTCCGGCGCTGCTCGATAGGTTGGTAGATGCCTTGCGGCCAGCAGATGTCGTTCCCCAGCCACGGTAGCCCGATGAAGTGTTATCGTCCTTGGGTTCAAAGGCTCCACCACCCATGATGGGAGGTAAGGAGGGATCGTTATTCGGATTGAAACCGTATTCCTCCACTTCTTTCCTCCGCTCTTCTTCAGCCGCCTTCTTCGCTTTCCATTTTCTCCAGAAGTACAAGGCTGCGAGGATGATTATGGCCACTGAAGCGACTGGCACAACGACCGCAACTGCAATGGTGCCGCCTGCTGAAAGCCCTGAGCTACCACTTCCACTTCCACCGGTCGACGATGCTGATGCTGCCGATCCACTGCCCGTAGCAGTCACGCCATTTGCTGCAGTACCAGCAGTTCCCGTTGGGAGTGTTGTGTCGGTGGATGTTATCGTCAGCGTCTCCACGCCGGTCGATCCATCGGTTGGTGTCTGTGTAGTAACCACTGTGGTGACAACTGGAGTCGCAGTAGTGTGAGAGGTAGTAGAAGTAGTGGTTGGGGGAGCCTCGGTGGTGCTACTCGTAGACGAAGTGGAAGTGCTACTTGTCGTCGACGGTATGGATATCGTTGTAGCAGAAGAAGTTGATTCCGAGGTCGACGACGTGGACGTTGTAGAGGGTGTGGATACGGATGTCGTTGGTTCCGCGGAGGTTTCTTGCGATGTAGTCGCCTGGGACGTAGGAGTTGCCTCTGTCGTCGATTGGGATGTGGTTTCCGGTTGTGTCTCGGTGGGTGTAGCAGTAGCTGCATCAGCGGCGTTTGCCGATGTTGCTGCCGCTGCTCCTGCAGCCGCCGCAGCCGATCCTGTAGGCAAGTTCAGTATACCGCAAGCGCATAGTTTATAACGGATAGCAGAGAACAGCGATACGCTCTCCAAGGTAGGGTGACGTGGTGGGGTAGCACCATACCAGAAGACATCTTTAAATGGCAATTGAGTCCAGAAGGATCAGGGTCCGAGTAGTATCAGTCAGTGAGTTCAACTGGGATTCGATAATTTCACAAGTCTAGCTGTCAATGACTGATCCACGAAGATGGGTAAGACGTATTCAGCCGAGAAGTAACCGGTCGTACACGTTTTGAGTGGAAGTTTCGCAAAAGCACGAGTCTCCTTAAGATTGCGTTTATAGAAGGATCGGAAGGCGATCGAAAGAGCGAAAAAATGTTGCGATAGCAAAAGAACGAATATAGGTTTGAATAAAGGGTACGACTCTATACCCAATAGGAATTAAAAGAGAATTGCTTCACTAGAATAAGAGCTGTAGCGCCCGTAGAGTGGTGAAGCTGATAATGGACTGCCTAGCGGATGGTCAGGGGATAAGCACGGTCGCCTCAGACCAACGCGGGCAAGAAAAGAAGGAAACAACAGATTATGGAATTAAGAAAGAAAAAAAAAAGGGTTCTCGGGAAAGGAAAATTTAGTAGGAGGGTATGCACAGTGGCAACTCACCGGAATTAAACTGGATGCCATGAGACAGCAGACACCGATCTCATATTAGATAGAGCGCAGAAATAACACACTCATTGGGACAGATCCATTTGAGGGGGTGTGGGAGGAGTTGAGGGAAGACACTCCAAAGAGAAGAGAACGAACAGAAGGAAGGGAAAAGAGCGAGTGAGTGAGTGACGGAACGAATGGATTGAACGAGCGAGAGAGCGGAGAAGTTTGGGCGAATTGCGGCCAGAAGCAAGCCTCTGCAACCGGCTCAGTGCTCCTGAGGGTGACTTAGTCTTGTCTTGGTTATGAGACTTTCCTGGTATTATTCTTAGTACCAGGTACGAGTACGGAGCAGCGAGCAGGTACAACCAGTATGTACGGAGTAATGGTACCAGTTACACTTGGCCAACCCAAATTGCTGCGATCGGCATCCGCCGGAGTCAGCAAGCGGGCGTCCGTCATCACATTCTCCCTCCTCAAATAACAATTGATACCAGAACGATGGAGTAGTATCTGGAGTCTCTAGGGTTCATCTGCTATCCTCACGGAGCTAAAATCATACTCCATACCCTGTTCTCCAATCTCCAATGTCCATAACCAACATGACATGCCCTGAGATTGAACTACTTATTCTTAGCAACAGTTAGACCCGGTTCCATGGGGGGCAACAGAACTTGATGACCCCCAAGCGGCCCACCGGGCGAAGAGGAAGAATTACTGATTGCAGATTGAGTGCCGCCTTCGGTGGGTCCCAATCTCCCACAGTCGAGCAGCCTCAAGCCCGGATTGGTGGTGCCGGACTTCATTCTTACCGCTAACCAAGCAGTAGCCACTATCGGTAACTCTCAGGTACCAATTGTCTTTAAAAAAAAAAAAAAAAAAAAAAAAAAAAAAAAAAAAATATGCCATGCCACAATTTACTAACTAGTACCTACTAGATACTATTGTTGAGGCCCCCCTGAACGGTGCATCGTTGATCGATCAGCCTGATATACAGGCAGTAATTTCCTTGTTATCAACATAGCATCTCCAAGAATAACCAAGTATATGTACATACTTAAGTCGGTCCTGGCAAGGTTATCAAATATGTTTACCAACTCAAAGTATGCCATCAGTGGCTTCCACGAATGCCGCATCTCTCTCCACTTTGGAAATCGTCCGAGCGGATAAGAGCGACTCGGACGGTCGCGTCTACCATCGACAGTGCGCCTCCTCAACCAAGACATGATTATCCATATTTGATACTTCAAAATCCTACATGAATGAATAGGAAAGAGTAAAAGCAAAGAATGTCATTATGAAGGCTAGCTACACTGCAACGCTATCATCTACTACTAACCGGTGTCAAGACGAAGCCTCGGTCGGCCGCTTCCGGCTGTCATCCTTCCCTACCTACCTACTGTGTAGTAGGAGCATTGGCTCCCGAGGTTGCATCTGACAATCAGACGAGACAGAGACAGGCTGGATAGGTCAAACAATTAAGTCTCTAACCGTCACTTTTAGGCCTTCCAACAAGGCGTTGAATACTACGCCATGAATAGTAAAACGCATCATGTAGCTGCAAACTTCGTTGGGCGTGTATCTATCTGTCTCGGAACTTTTTCAATGCACCCGCGTCCGGGCATACTACTTGGGCAAGAGCCTGTAACAACATCCGGTCGGTCAGGCCTCCTATCGTTCGATGACGCAAGACCGCGTGTCATCCTTGCACTGTAACGGATATGCTTGACACTTTTACTTTTGAAGCCACGTACTTGGGCCTACGACGCCGACTTTCACCGGACTTGATAATGAAAGTAGCACAATTTTCAAAAAAGATTTTTGGAACACAAGCATCGTCAGATTTTGGCATCGACGATTCGCCTCCAAAAAGAAGTCATATTTGCAGGTTGAAGGTTATAGATAAACATGGCTGATCAGACCGAGCGCCTAGAGAAAGCAGAGATGAATAACAAAAGGCCCCTTGTATGTATTCACGCCACTGAACATCGGGAAGATTTGCGAAATCGAACCCGGTTCCTCAAAAGAAGTACCGCTAGGACAGAATATATAATGGACAAGAATAGATCGTGATAAGGTATGTAAACACCAGATGGCTGTGGCAGAGGGGGAAATCGTTACGGCTGGGAACAAACAACGAAACAGAAATGCCGGTATTTACTGCCGCATATCCCATTTAGGACGGAGGTTTGACATCAAGTCATCCTTGGTACCCACAGTGTCCGCAGGCAGACGGCTGACACGATACGCACCAGTGCGGATGTTGTGCAAATGGGTCGATGAAATCCCAGTGCCGTTGCTGCGAATACTACCAGCATCGCTCGCAGTATCATTCTTGAAGCGAGGCGGAGGTGCAAAATCCAATGTGTCGTAAGCGCCCGACTTGCGCAATGCGTGTCTGAAACTTGGTTAATATTGACAAGCAAAGTATATGGAGAGCAAATGACTTACGCGCTAGGCAAGGCTGAAAGGTCATCGAAAGCTGAAACAAGCGGCGAATGGACCGGCACCGCCGGGCTAAATGGTTGCAGGCCGCCCAAGGGCGTTCCTGGTCGGCCCTCTTTTTGATCCTTGAAGTGATTGGAAGGGGCATACTCGATGGCAGACATGATGGAATCATCATTCAGCATATGGGGTGTGGGGAGGATCTGAAGCGGCGAGGGCGGGGGTATCGGCTTGCGCGGCTTTGGGGGTCCCGGCATACGGTTAGAGGCTGAGGAGAATGCACGAGGACCGGGCGATTGGAAGCCGCTATTGAAGCCTCCGTCCGAGCCCCTAGGCATATGACGAGCTGCCCCTTGGAAGCGTGGCGGTGCGCGAGGTGGAGGAGTCATGGCACGACGAGTCACTGGTTCAGCGAAAGGCGCCGGCACCGCACCGAACTGATCGCCCATCGTAGGGTCGTACGCATAGGCCTCTTCACCATAGTAATCTGGCACATAGTCATGGTACATTGTTTCCCGGCCGTTCTTGTTCTCATCAAAGTACTCCTTGTAGAAGGACCTGATACGGTTGGCACGTTGCTCGGGGTCCTCAGACGGATCCTCTGGCGGCAGGGGACGAAGACCGAAAGTCATCCGTCGCGTGTCACGACGGCTCGCATCAAGGCCTGTGTTCTGACCACGAGGTGGCTCTTCGGCAGGCACAGCAGGGGCATCGGGATGCTGAAGACCATCTTCATAGCTTGTAGCGCTTGTCACATCTTGCACATTGACAGCCGGGATCGTAGACCTCCGCGCATCACCGTAATCGCTAGCTGCATCACTCACAGGGAGCGAAATCCTGGGTGTTGATATTGATGCGGTTTGCACAGGAGCCGGGCTGGGGTCCAAATGCAGCGAAAGAGGGTCATGTAATGGTGGAACATTGACATGATGCTGAGGGACCGGCACTGAAGCCACGTCGTTGTCGTGACCGTGATCTTTGGGAAGGGTCATATTTGCGTACTGTGGCATATGCGATAAGCGCTTCTGCTGGGCACTAGTCTCAGTAACGGCGTGATCTCCAGCGAATCCGACTTCATTGCTTGTCGTGTGCGGCTCGCTAATGGCCATTCCAGGAACATGTACAGGACTCGGGCTTCTGGGCAGATCCAGCTGGAACCCATGATCATGTTCATGATCAGAGCTTGCCGGGCTCTGCACATTACGGTCCCCGGACGAAGTCTTGTAAAGTGGCGGCGACGAGCGCGACATTCTTTGGGCGTTCCGCAGAAGACCCTGGTTCATATCGTCTCCAAGTGCGGCCCGTCGGGTTGAACCTGTAAAGCTTGCCGCATCATCGTGGGGGCCTCTCGAGTGTGACCTGAGCGACGAATTGTCACCGAGGAAGGACCCGACGTGTCGGTACTTATCATCGTCACCATCACCGATGGATCTGGACATAGACGCCAGGGATTCCCTCGAGTTGTGCAGACCGGGAGGGAGCAGATAGGGGCTAGGCCCAATATCCAACGAGATTCCCTTGTTGTGAGCCGCGTTGCGATCAGTTTTCTCAGCTTGTTGCATAGGCACAGCTCCGTTAGTGGGCGCCAAATCTAGGCCGAAGTCGAGAGATTTGTGTTTGTCATTTGCATCTTCGTTACGGAGCTTCTTCACGTTTCTGCGGTGCAAGTAGAGTAGGATGCCGATGGCAATCACAATAGGAACCCTAGGTGCTCATCAGTCATGGTCTTGAACCATTGAAATAGCATTATAAGTATGGTCTCCGTAAAGTGGAGAGCAAAGGTGGGCATTTTAACGAAGGAGGGAACGCAATTGAACGTACACTGCTCCTAGAACAACAGGCAAAGTCGTAGTGGTAAGCGTGCTTGTCGGTTTAGTACCACTGGATGCAGTGGATGAGGAAGCCGAAGAAGAATCAGTAGACGGCAGAGGCTCTCTTCTTGCCAACGTCGGAGTTTCGCGCATCGCTAGCAATGGCAGTCGGTCCCGAGGCACAAGGCTTGGGCGGCGTGCCATCGAGCGGCCTTGCAACTGTGCGCCATGGAGAGCCTGATGATGGTGGTGGTGATTGTGCATGATCGGCCGAGTCCTTCAGGGAGGTAACCCGAACTCTCCGTGAGCCCGGAGGACTTCCAGATTCTTCCAGATTACTTCGACAATGGGGCAGTTGCCGGGCCACGGTAGCTCTTAACTCTGTTGTGAATATTTCCCAGGTGTCGATAACTGTAAATCATGAAGTCGAGTGGCGGTATTTATGACGAGAAGCAATTGAGGAAGTGCCTATGATGCGAAGATCTATCTCACTGGGGGGAAGGTGGGCACGCTCAACAACGGTAGTAATGGCGGACAAGAAGCGAAGGTACAAGGATGGATTTGGATCCAGCAAGGAATGGACGGAGCGAGAGCTGCTCCCTGAAATGAACGACTGTACAAGCCCCGAGATGTCGAGGCCCGGGGGGGGGAAGGGAAAGAACGACGTGTAACAGGTTAAAAAAGGAAAGGAAAGGAGTAGAGGAGGCCGACCGAACTCGATAGGGAGAGGGAGAAAAGAGGGAAAATGAAGTGAGCCGGCAGGGCGAAAGCCCAGAGGGCGTAAGCAAGCAGCAGCACCCAGGGCTACTACCTTGGGGCTAGTCAACCTAAGCGGTCTAGATGGCCCGTTTCATTTCCATTCATTTGTTTGTCTAACCGGTTGTGGGGAGGAGAGGCAAAGCTTGGTGGCAGATGGGGGGGAAGAGTTGAGCAGTGGTTTGAACTAGACTAGACTAGCTGGTTAGTGAGTGAGTATCCGTCGTACCATACTGCGGGAGGGGAAACACCGAACACATGCCCCGTATTCGCAAAGTATGGTATGGTCATCTATTCGAGGAAGAGGTATCTATCTGAGTATCTATCAAATTATCTACCTAGATAAGGCAGGTCACTGCTACTCGCTAGCAAAGTAAACTACTTGCTAGCTACCTTAAGTTAGTGGTCTGATTGTTGTTGAAAAGTATTTTCCCCCAGAAGAATGCACGATAAACCCATTATTCCTGATAGAGAGAGCTTGGACCAAAAACATTGGCTCACCCACATACCTTGGACAATGTACACAGTAAGTACATTGCGATTGGTCTTGAAGTCAAAAAGAGGAACAGAATAACAGAGTAGCTGGCTCAAGTATAGAGTTCTAAAGAAAGATAGGTACACTTCCTCTTCTGTCACGACGTGGTTTTGCCGCCCCCTGAGTTGGCTGAAGATCGGAATACACATTACCGAGTGTGAAGTAGATACCGGTATCGCATCCGTATGGAACACTAGTTCACTAGCAGTAATGGTGAACGGACTCCAACAGTCTGGGCGGGCTGATTCCTCTGTGGTGACTTATCCTTACTTTGCAAGTGTTTCAGCTTCCTCGTGGGCTCTCTGGCAGATGTGTCCAAGACTCCAAGTACTCTGGCGGCGCTCTCAATCCACTTTCTTTTCTTCCTCTCCAGGTCCGGCTCTGTTTACTTTTCTCTACTTAGACCGAGCAAGTAAGGTGGCCGCGATCCCCTGAGTCGAGAAAGCAAAAAACCAAGGCACAAGTGGGGCGCCTAGTCTCTCCTTTTCAGACTAGCGCCAGGAACCCGCTGAGTCCTGACCAATAATTGGAAGGGGACTCCGCCCCTTGGGAGATTACCTCTCGGACATTCTCCACCCGCCATACAAAGCTGAGCCTGTCGACTTGCTCGATTAATATCTGACATTCACCCCTTGGGAAGTCTGGACAAGTGCTAAACCTTCTCGAATGATCCTACCGGAGTAGATTGGCACTGGGAGAGTTTGTTGGTTGCCTACGGTGCACAACTAGTGAAGTAGTTGACGTATATCCATGATAAGAGTTGGTTTATTATTAGCATCAGTTGGCTTGGTCCGGGTATCCTTCCTGGCATGTAGTACTAAATACCTACGACGCATTACTTTCCTGCATTGATGCTATCTATCTCTTCTACCCACAAACTAATACTTCAACCAACAATACAGCAATCGGCAACAGTTTGTCTGCAATGTGATAAAGCATGGGGCAGCCTCTGGAAACTATGACATTCCCCCGCTCTTCCGATCTTACGACGGAGACTACATAATGTATAGAAAAAAAAAAAATTGAGGTTTGAATTAATTAATTGGCTATTCCTTTAGCTACCAATCCCTCGAAACACAGCATCAGGCTGATATACCGTACCGTGGCTTCGGCCATACTTTGAGGCGACCTTGCTTATAGATACCATGAAACTGCGGAGTCCATATGGCACGTTCTTCATGGCAAATATATGATGATAAAATCCCCTTGAGACCAATACAAATACTCAACTATAAACATTCCGCCAGTCATATCTCTTGTGTAGCTGAGGCTGAGACATGATCACGGCAAATGTCCCTTGACTCTGGGATTATGGTTCATCACGGAAATCAGACCGAACTTAGAAGGGATACACCAATCGCAAGGAACAGCACGAATATATGCATTATATGCCCCCTGAGGTGAAGATCATGGCTTACATACTTTCTACTTAAGTTCATGTGACCCGCTGGATCGTTAGCTGAGTATATCGACGTACCCTCTAGTAATAGCATATTGATGAAAAATATAAGGTGCTTGGTAGCTTTAAGTAAATAGTCTTCCCATTCATATATATATTGCGAGCATACTACTTTCAACAGCTATATATTCTAAGTAATTTGCATCATGCCAACACATCTACGCATGACGCAACTAGTTCCTAAGTAGCGGCTATTATGATGATATGGTTGAGGTACATCTGCCTTTGAATTCGCGTCTCCGTTGTCAGTGACCTTACGATTTTGTGTGTATCGATCCATGCATATCACTTCGGTTTAACACGTATTATACAGCTATAGGAGAATAAAAAGGGGACCTGTCAGAACCGAAGTGAGGAATACCCTGCGCTCTTCCATCTTGAAAGGAAACTTCATCTTAAAGCATCTTTCCTTGAATAATATATCCATGTCTTCAAAGCTCTAGAGCCACAGACCTAGCTAGCCGTCGCGCGCTTTTCACCCACAAAGAAAAGGTAAGAATAGCCTAAGCATGATCTTGAATGAAGGTATCCGGTACCCCGGGAAAGCCGTATACAACTCGGGTGGTATGAAACGTGATCTAGTACATATGAATCGACGTCCATACGCTAGTATCTATTCTTTCAGAGTGCTCTAGCTTTTGAAAGCTGTCAATTCTGGAAGGGAAATGGCACATGCATCATTACCCGGCTTACGCCCTTTGCCTCAAGATTAGCACTGAAAGACTACGTACTAGCCCACGAGCAATATATATAAATATATGCCTTTTGAACACTACTATCGTTGCCGTAGCTGGCACACCGTATACTGATAAATCATGTTTAGGAGAAAAAGATAATGTCATGTTTCTAGTACATGATTCGACGTATGGAACTGTTTCTATTGAAATTCCTTTCCACACCACACCTGGTCCATCCGGTCCCCCATTTTTGTTCCATATTTGTGGTTCGCCCAATATATTCTTGGTGGATTAACCAAAGTGTTATTCCGGGTCCACAGTGAGATCCATACACTTCCTGATTGCCGAGATCAAGTACGGGTTCAAATATAACTTTAGAGTGGTAACGGATATTTACAGGCTTAAAGGTAGAAAGACTTTGGCTCACTGGGCTCATTCCATCGAGAATGTGATAGCCCGTTCTTTGTAATTTTGCACTATTGGCTATTGAGAAGTCACCATATCTTTCTTTTGTTTCTCCAGACAGGTACAAAATGACCCAGATTCTTATATCCATACACCGATGAAAAAGTAAAATCAACGAAGAAAAGGAAGTTGGCGAATGCAAACAGGCAATGGAAGACCGTACGGGACCTTCGTAATCCACTTCCGAAAATATCACGTACAGAGAACAGAAGATGAAAAAAGAAAAGACTAAAAAATAGACTTTATGGCAAGGGTTGAGAGAGAAAAAGAAAGGCCCAAAAGAAAAAAGTATTCGCACAAGAACCGCCCAAATACACAACACAAACCCTGAATGGGAAACCCAACATGTCAGTTGTACAATGTGATATCCATTTGAAAACAATAAACTTTATCAAATATCCCTTCCCTGACAGAGGGGAGGGGAGAAGAGGAAATTAGCGGTAGCGTAAGAGGTTAGAGAGCATGTCCAAGTCAATTGTTTTCTTTCGCGTCAATTCATATGCTCAAGAAATCGTCAGACTTTTCAAAAAAAGATACAGTCGGAGAATAGAAAAGGCGTGAAGTGGTGACATCATGGAATGTAAGGAAGTGGCGTAGCTCATTTGCCGTAACTCTCGAGACATGCATTATGAGAAGACTGATCGAAAATGCGACGGAATGGCGGGTCTGAAGGATGTATGGTGTCTCTAGGCTCCGATGTAACACCTTCGGCTTTGCGGATTACTTCTTTCAAAGCACGGGTGACAACGCCAGCTCGGACGACCAAGTCTCGAAGAGATTGTGTATCAAAAGGAAGTTTTCTGGGACGAGGAGGATGTGAATCCGCGAAAGCGGAGTCAACCGAGCTCCGTTGTTGATAGATCAGATCCAACACAGAGTTCGGTTTGGTCGTGACATCGGGACTGGGAGAGGTGGTAGGGCGGGAGTTGGAGTGCTCCGAGAGCGATAGTCCCCATGATCCATCGCTGACCCGTTTCCAAGGTTCATTGGTGTTCGATGAATCGCCTTCCGAGTCATCGAAACTGAACGTCAGAGAGGATGGAGATCCAGGAGGCGAGTTATTATTGGAGTTATTATGATCATCATCATCAAGCGTGGCTAGGTTCACTATTCCTTCCGCTTCTTTCCAAAGTTCGCTTGATGGCCCTCGGACAATGTTTAGAAAGCTGCCCTGGTGCCGCAGACGCTTTAGCTCTTCAACCAGCAAGGTTAGTTCTTGGACGTGTCCGAACTGCCCATGAAGGCTTGCTTGGCGTTCCATGATAGCTTGAGGAACAATCATGCCCCGCCGGGGGGTAGTTTTGCTCGGCTTCATAGACTCATTGGTTGTAGTCTCATCTGCATCCTCAAACTCGAAGTCACTGTCCCAGTCCTCACTAACGCCTTTGCTCCCCAGGCCCCATGTACCAAACTTTCCTGAAGTCTGACGTTGTTCATTGATTGTCGGAGGGTCTCTGGTCACTGGTACACTTTGACTACGGAGATGCAATGTACTCGGAGCTTTTCGTCCTGGCGCGCGGCTGCCACGCACGTCAGGCGTATGCTTCCCATGCATGGTCCGCGGCCGCCCATCAGAACCCGCTGCTTCACGATCGCTTCTCGGCTGTTCCGACCAGTCGAAGATGTTCATTTTCGGACACGAGTCGAGCGCCTCATGGGTGAGACTGCGAGAATCGTACTTGTATGACTGCCTCGTCTCGCTTCTGAAACAATTGCTGCCTTCGCCCTTCAACGACAGCATTGAAGATTGTACTTGCGTGAATGGGCTGGTTGTTTCACCGGGCAATGCTGCCACCAGACTGCGAGAATCTTCGTCGTCGGTCAAGTCAGACGGAAAAGATATATTGCTGTCACCTTCGTGCATATCAGATGGGCTGTTTGCGATACGGCCTGGCATAGTAATGGGAGTCGGCGTCGCGTCTGCATCAGAATCACAATGGCAATTCCCAAGAGACTGTGAAGTAAGAGACCCGCGTGTTTCGAGTGCATGGCCATTAGAAGGCTCTCCCTCCAAAGTATTTACAGGGAAGTCCTTGTCAAAGATTGTCTCGATCCGAGGAGCATAGGAGCCCAAGCCACTGCTAGTAGTGATATGGGTACGGATGGAGTCGAAGGCGGTGTCGCTCAAGAAATCTGTCTCATCCTCATCGCCAGATGTGAATATGTGGGTATCATCGGAACCTATGACGGTTGACGCAGGATCTGATGCAGCGATAGAATGGCGTTTTGGGCGCTGACGGAAAGTGCCCTGAGACCTGGTCAGTGTTACTGAGTCTAGGGTGAATGGACGTGATCCAATGTCCCGGAGATGAGCCATCTCTTGTTTGTAGTCCTGACAATAAAGAGGATAGGCTCTGCGTCGTGGACTCATTAGTTCCGACATCAATGACGAACCAGCCCCGTTATGTGCAATGGTCGGACGACGGAAGATATTAGGGTCGGTGATGTTTCGTCTTCCTTGTGTGTGAGGTGGAATCACCTGTGTTCCTTCCGTCTTTGTTAACGCTGGAAGAGGCGTTGATGTTGCCCTTCTTTTAGAATAAACTAGGGGAGCATTTTTGAAGCTTCCGCCATCTCCGGCTCCAGTGTCAGCTGGGGGAGACTTAGGATCCGCATCTTGCAAAGAAGGCGAGTTTTGGCGATCACTTTCCTCCGGTGGCAATGACAACTCTTTTTGTTGCGATGAATTCCCACTGGGCTCGAACGGGTTTCGAAACTGGACTGAAGGGGAAGGAGTAGATTCATCCAGGCCAGCTTCCACTGTTTGTTGCTTCCCTCTGATGGATGTTGCTAGAAGAAGAGCCGGGGCAGTCTCCGTATTCGGTACGATCCGCCGCAGCCCTTGATCTTTCGGTCTCGTTGCGGTTGAGAATCTACGCGCCAGCCTTTCCGATAACCCCTCTGGGCTGACATCTATGTATGGACGCCAGACATGATCATCCCCTATAGCAGCAATATCAGGTTTGCTTGCCGAGGGATTCAAGATCAGGCTTGGCTCGAAATTAAGACTATGAGTAGCCTTATGCCCCAAGGTCTCAGACCGCTGATGACTAGTAGCAGGCCTGCGAAAAGCGGTGGGAGTCAAGGGAGAGGATGGCGCGATCCCAGACAATGAGTGAGAGTTGGCATGATGTGAAGGTGGCCGCTTGACTAATTTGTTGGGCCTGCGTTGAATAGAAGCGGGAGGACTGGCCGGGCTACCTGGCGTGATTGGTGAAGGAGAAACAGGAGTTTGGCATGAAGCACGTTTCTCCGGTTGGAAGGACAGGCGTCGCACCCAGGAAGACGAGGGCCGTCGTATGTGCGCAGCGAGTGAAATGTTCTCTAAGACTGGCTTTGGTGGGCCAGTCAACGTTTGTCCGCGACGTCGCAATCGTACACCTGCAAACGATGATTTCCTGCGCGACTTCTCCTCTCCCGGCTGACTCGTATCATACGCACCATCTTCTGACCCCCGAGAGAATTCTGCGGTCAGAGGAGATTGTGCTGTTACTGATGTAAAGGGACTGGTGGGGACATGGTTTGCATTTGACGAGGATGCGGTATTGTCTGTCGCTGTCGCGCATTGATCATGCAGCGGGAGGGTCTTTTTCCGGAATCGGCCTGGTCTGGAGGAGCTTCGATCTACGCGACCGAAGGCGAAGCCAGATGGTGCAATACCGACGGTGCTAATTGCACAGAGCTGAATGAAAAAGAAAAAAAAGATAAAGCAGTTAGCCGCGACAACTTGTAAACATGAAGGACGCGAAATCTGAGGCAAGCGCTTTGCTTCTCCCAATCTGCGCGAGGCAAAGGGCCTGTAGCCGCAGCAAAGTGGACAACCAAACGAATGCGATCCAAGAGCGATCTGATCGGACACAGAGCAAAACTCACAGTTGATACATGCTCCATTCTCAGAGGGCGCCGAGAACAGTGTCAAGCACCATAAACCTCAGATTAGCCACATCGATATCACATGTAGTTGACGACCCATCTGCATTATCTTGCACGAGGAGGATCAGCTGGCCCGACACATCTAGATAAACACCATCTCAGAAGAAGACAGGTGGAACCAGAATGCGATTTAGCCTGCGATGGTGGAAGACAAAAGCCACAATAGCAGTATAGCAGTATTGATTATTTGTACAGATAATCCCAGCGTGCGATCAGTGCGACCTTAGGGTGGGTGAGGGGAAAGGGTGTCGGAGCCAGCTAGGAGGAAGCTAAAGGAATGGGGGAATAGTCGAAAAGGAATGTAATCAAGGAATGAGGGACTAAAGAGGAAGACTGAGCGACTAAAGCTTTGGCCCGCGCAGAGTCGCAGCAGTTAACTGTTCTAAAGTCAACGGAGAGAAAAAGAAAAGGAAAACAGACAGCAGAAGGAAAATTGAAGAAGCAGTAGCAGCAGTAGTAGAGTAGCAGCGGCGGCAGCGGCAGCAGCAGCAGCAGTAGCAGCAGCAATATGCGAATGAGAGAGGTAATAATAACAGACCAAGGTCATCGATCAACAAAAGCCCCAGTGGGACGCGGTCACTGGCTTTGCTACCCACGGGCGATGTTCTTCTGGTTCTAGTCTAAACTCAACCACTGGGAAAGGAATGGATCACGCTAGGAGTTCCACCCCCAGCACACCACGACCGCAAGGCAAGTCCCAATAAATTGTGGCTAGAGTCAGGGAAGCGGGAAGAGCACAAAATGGAAGGGTAAAAGAAGGAGCATAGAAAATAAGAATAAAATAATGTAGAATAATTTTTACCTTTTCTTAAAGAATTAGAAAATTGGTACGAAGATAAATCCCTCCACCACAAAAGCCGTTGAATTTTCACACATCATTTACCTGGTATGCTACGCAAGACTTCCACCCACACCTGTTAGGACCACAGCATAGGCAGACAAGTGTAACCACCATAGGATTCTGGGACTGCTGTTGCCCAAATTTCGATACTCTGTAGGATAAAGCCATCAATCATTTGAGACCGAATCAAGTAGAGTTTTCTCACAGCCTGAGGTTGAAAGGCACCAACTTACAGGTGGACAGCGATAACTACCAAGGAAACCTGAAACGCCTTCTAATGCAGAATAAGGAGGAACACGAGGGTATTTATGTAAGTCATTGCTAATGTACTCCATCTATGTAGTATGCAGGTATTATGTAGAAGGGGACCTACTGACGTGGTGGACTACCAAGCCATGGGAGTATGCTGGTGCGTTGTTGTTTAGGATGAAATCCAATTATGCATATAACCTGGGGAATGAAACACTTACCTTGTTCTGGGTAGAGGGATCAGACAGCCTGGTAAGTTTATGACCCTGCCTAATTATCCTTCTTTTTCAGCTGCTTACTGTCCACGCACAGAGACACACTACATTAATGGTGTTCGGAGTAGTCCGCCCGTCCACTACTACCTACCCATCGGGCGGTGTATTTGGGTAATTATGGCGAGCCGCGATCCTTGCACCTCGGCGGCTGCAGCTGGGCCACTAGCGTGCACGATCCCACCGAGGAAGACTTGATGGGCGAGGATGGGATCTGATTCCCGAACCTGTGCTGGCCTAATGAAACAAACCAGGGATCTTCAGCTCCTTCCCCCCTCCCCCCTTCCCGAGATTTCACAAGAACCTGCTGGTCCAGAACACCATATAATTGGAAGAAGCATTGAGGATGTTCATGCCTCTCCCTGTGCCGTTGGATCCCTGTGCGAAGGGATACTACTAGTAAGGCGGTTGGAACATGCTTCTTCTTATCCTCTTACTTGATTTAGCATCTCGCTCTTTTACTTTTGCCAACTTTCTCAGGGCCTAGTGGAGATGCTTCTGCAGAGAGCTCCAAACCGCACGAGATGGGATCGAGGTGACTGAGTCTGCTTTTCTCATGATGCAATCAGACCGCAACTGGCGTCCGAGCCTAGTACCGATCAGGAACGCTGATTCCGTCCAAGTCATGAAAACAATGGGTCCATTTTATAACGCGGCTAAGCCATCATGCCCATCCCCACTTTTGACTGGAAGTAGCTTTCGGCTGGCTGGCTGGCTGGCTGACTGACTGGCGAAATCACCCTCATGACAATAATAATAAGAAATATTAATACTATTAATTTTCTTAGATAGCACGGGGCCCCGGGACTCGTATCCCTAGCTAGTAGCTCCTGCTATCTACCTACGCTCTCTGCTTAGCTTGCCGAGAATTCAAGGGAGCAAAGGAGAAGCGAATTAGGTTGGCGATCTCTGGAACAACCATCGGCAGAACATCTGGTTCCTGAGCTTTCATAAACCGACCGGTTCCAAGGCACGGGGCCGAGAGGAACAAGCGGGATGCTGCCCAGGGTTAGACTTTCTCAGTCCTTGCCTCTTTTAGCCTTCCAATCCATCATTCTACCCATCTTTATCCATCCAAGCTCCCGATGTAATTAGAAGAAAAAAAAAAAAAAAAAAATTTCCCCTTCATTCCTCCTTGCTGACCCTCTTTTCCCTTCCGCCTGTCCCCAGGATGACGACACTGAAGTCTGAAGACTCCAACTCTCCAAGGAAATTTTATTTAGCCCACTACGGTCGCATTTATTTTCCGAGAAAGGCCGAGAGCTCACGGCTTTTCATGTTCCAATGTGCCGTCTGTAAATTTCCTCGAGCGTTGCGATCCGTAAGCAAGATGTCTACTAGGATAATGTATTAAGAGAAGGCAGCTGATTTGAGTCTAACGAGCTGTATCGGACTTTCTCTCGGTCGCATGTGTCAAAACTGGCAGGCCAACGGTGTATAGTAAGCTTATCTCATCGAGCACAAAGGCCGATCGCGATGATAGATCCAATTTCTCGGAGCGGAACTTGGACTGCGAGCGTCGAGCTTCCAAGGGCAATTTCTTCCGGCCGATTGCCGGCCGGGCTAGAGCTTTGAGGTCTCCATTTTTAATTATTTGTTGTTAGGTCAAGGCTTTGTTTGTTGTATTGCTATTGTTACCTAGGCTCTAGGCCTGTTTACGCAAGACAGATAGTTCCATTCAGTGCCGTTCACTACCGTGATTCCGATTGAATCGCAAGAGTCCGATCTGTATCTGCGAGCGTTCGGTGCCACTGTGCACTACCCACCGTCTATTGATTAGCCTTGCCTATCTGCTCCTGTTGCAGGCTTCATTCAAAATGAGTGTGCTTTGCGGTACCTCCAGCTGTGCTGATCGACTTTCTTGGCGTTTGCTGCTACTGATTCATTCTCAGCCGTCACCGAGACTGCCTTATTATAATCTGCCATAAGTTGGTCTCCATGTTTCAGAATTTGATCCTGGCCCCATTAGATAAAAAAAGAGAAAGAGTATCCTTGCTGAATGCACCCCTTCGTTCGGTGGGTGTGAAACCATCAGAAGCAGGAACACCCGCCAGCCCTTGCCTCCAAAACACGGCACTTTACTGATGGGAATAGTCTCCTAGGTGACACTGAGGGGCAATTTCATGCAACCATGCAGGCATAACCCTGTCCCAATAACATTCTCATCATTGGGCCCCTAGGTTTGAAGTGCGAAGTGCGCTGCGGTGCTACTGACCCATCCAGATTTAGCACAGTTGGTGGACGAGAAGTGCCGCTCGCTCCCTTGATTGGCGAAACTAGCCAGGGTTGCACGGCCCCATGAACAGCTGTCCTGCCTCCTGACGCGCGATCATGGGGGACTAAACCCGATAATCCTTGCGAGGTCCTGTCAATGGACATTATTCACTCTCGTCACAAACAAACCATCTACGTACAGGACCCGGGTACTCCGCAAGTGTCTCGCACACACATTTACGCCAATTGAGGCCCCTCTCGTCTCCTCGCCAGGGCAACCATGAGTGTCCAAATCAACTGGCCCCCGAGGCTTGCTTGATTTGGCTGTGCGATGTCTTTCTGCAGGTGATCAGCCAGAGAGTTCAGAGTTTGATAGATTAACATAGCATGTACAGCGGTATGGCTATCTACCACACGCATATTCGAATGCTAGCTACTATCTATACGCGCATTACTCCGGCTATTTTTCAGCTGCATTCGGGCTAACCTTTAAAGGCCTGCGCTTACCGAGAGGAAGAAAACTGAGCTGGCAAAGTCGATGCTCCTTCACCGACTACGCGGGGCCTACGGAGGCGTGCCCGAAAAACCGGGGCGGTAAAGCTAAACACGATGATATAATCATGCTGGGAAAGCTACTCTTTTACCAACACACATGGGGCGCAAGATGCTGGAACCAATGAAATCATACGTTCGATCTGTTGGATCGCAACGAGGACCTGGTACCCGCGACCTAGATACCTAGTGGGGAAGAGACGAGTCAAGAGAATCTGCCACTAGACTCTACCATGATGTTTACTATCTAGGCTCTGTGAAAGCAGGATTGGTTGTTAAAACAGAAGACCAAGGAGTTAGTATGATTGCTTTCGCCCATCCCCTCTCAGTGAGAGACTGTGGGTTCTAGCAGCGTCCGAGCATTGCAGCAGATTCTCGTAATTCCAAGAAGACGATGGTATCCGGAGCCTAGGAACACTGGAAAATGGTAACCTTTCTGGAATCAGTGCATTGCAGGGAAACTAAGTGCACGACTATAGTGATAATTCGGCTGGGCGTTATTGGCAGATGCTCAACCACAGAAGACTATATAGATACCTTACGAATTGCTCGATGGTGAGCATGTATAGAAGCTATTTGGCTACAACTAACGATTTATTCCAGCTAGAGCCCAGCTTTCATTATCATTCATTGTCATACTGCCTGATTTTTAAGTTATTCTAACCACTCAACCTTTCTGATTCATCCATAGCTGCTGAAGCCTAATACTTGGGTCTTCGAAGCACTATTCGATATAATAAACACATACCTATCTGTGCGTCCATTCTTACACTGACTTTAATGATCTGAAGACCTAGACCATAGGTACTTCGGAGCTCTCCACTGGTGAGCCTGCCAATCGAGTGTAAACATAGCGTTCCTTCGTACTAAGTAATTCATGGTAATGCCAAATAGGTGCATTCTATCATTGTTTGGGATTCATGAGGCTGATAACTTCAACGAGCATGATACCAATAAGTGAAAAGCTCCTCAAAACCTCAATGAGCACGATTCTTGTCTTTCTGTTACTGGGACCTTATCCAACCTTCAGCTGGAAAAATGTGGTGGTAAATGTAGTCATGCTGCATCAACTATTCTCCTATGGACACTGACTATATCTTGATAATGGCCTACAAGACCGTTATATATTAGATACCTTTACCATCTGCCTATGAAATGGTTACTATGGAGCATACTCCATGTGCGAGGAATATTAGTCGGTAGGCTTGCACCTGTGCTTTGGTCATCAACATGCTTGAAGTAGGTTCACATCTGTTCCCTGTTTTTAAACATAGGTTTCAAAGATCTGATATAGGATCGCTCGTGATAAAAGATGCTACACTTTAGTAGCCAATAAACTCGGTCGGAGTGTGAATACCTGGATGCTTAACGACATACCATCGGTGATTGCATCTCAACATTTTGGACCAGTGACCAGAGACTACAAACACCAAGAGTGAGCTCCTCCTTTACATGCTGTTGTATCCAGATCCATGGCTGCGCCACTGTTGAGTATGGGGGCGGTGGGTCGTGTGAGCTGTCAGCCTTATTATGTAAAAAGTGTCTACCCCGTGCCTGAGCTAAACCCGCGACCACTTCTCCAGATTCCAGAACCCCCTTTCCCGAGAACAATCTAGTATACCCCAGATATAGGGTATACCTGGAAGCTCAAGTCATAACTGTGCCTGGAATGGCTGACATGGATACCCGTATAGAAGCTATCCAACCTTAAGCCATGAATCGCAGGGACGAAATTGAGCCGTCTGACCCCAATGCTCCTTTGCTCCCTTCCGAGCCACGGGTAGACCATGAACCCCAACATGAAGGTAGCAGGAGGCTGAAGCCTACTACCAACTCGGAACAAACAAACGGGTGGTTTATATACGCTCTGACCTTCTCCGCAGGCATAAGTGGGTTGTTATTTGGTTACGAGTAGGTCCAATCTTGATAGCCTCCCCATCGACGACAACTTCATGTAGAGAGGTGATTGCTGTCCTCCGTTATACTGACACTCCGCCCTTTGAAGCACAGGTGTCATTTCCGCAACCTTAGTATCGATCGGGTCCGACCTCTCTAACCATCGTCTAACGACATTGGACAAGAGTCTCGTGACATCCTGCACCAGCCTGTTCGCTCTGATTGCGAGTCCGCTAGCGGGAATCCTGGCAGATAAATTCGGTCGCAGAAAGGTCATTCTCGTTGCAGACGTGCTTTTCACTCTTGGCGCTTTGATACAAGCTGTCACAAGCGCAGTATGGGGCATGATAGCTGGAAGAAGCATTGTTGGCCTGGCGGTTGGTGGAGCAAGTCTGGTGACTCCATTGTATGTTCAATCCTTACTAAGGGTGTCCCTCGAAGGAGTATAGTAGGGAGGAATAAAGTTGTCCTTTTGTCTAACATATCTCCAGATATATATCCGAGTTGGCACCTTCTCATGCTAGAGGAAGGCTTGTGACGATACTGAGTCTTTTTATTACAGGCGGACAAGTCGTTGCTTATATCATCGGCTGGTTATTCTCCTCTGTATCTGGGGGCTGGCGCTATATTGTTGGCCTTGGAATGCTCCCAGCAGTTTTTCAATTTTTCATAGTTCTAGCTCTTCCAGAAACCCCTCGGTGGCTGGTCCAAGCAGGGTTTGAAGAGAAAGCTACGAAAGTCCTCTCCCGGGTCTACGGGAGTCATTCCGACAGTGGCCTCATGGCTAAGCAGGTTATGCGTGATATCCAGCAAGAAGTGGCTGAGGAGGAGGAAGAGTTGACTCAAACCAATAAGCCCTCCACAGGGAATTGGCAGTGGCTGACGAACGTTACGCAGTGTGCTCGCCACTTAATCCTCGTCGGTGGTAATCGGAGGGCGTTGATTATAGCGGTTATGCTGCAAGCCACACAACAATTGTGTGGATTCAATAGTCTCATGTATTTCTCGGCGACAATTTTCTCCATGCTGTCGTTTTCATCACCAACACTCGTGTCATTGTCGGTGGCGTTGACCAATTTCTTATTCACCTTACTCGCATTTGCCTTTATCGATAGGATTGGTCGGCGCCGCATCCTCCTGTACTCAATGCCAGTGATGGCTCTCTCACTCATTGCTTGCGCTTTTACGTTCGGCTCAGTCGAAATGCCGAACCCCGAGTCAAGGGTACGAGCGGAAGATGCCACAATTGATAGCGCTTTCCTTCCTATTGTTATCTTGATATGCCTCACCGTTTATGTGGGAGCTTATGCATTCGGGCTTGGAAACGTGCCCTGGCAGCAATCAGAGCTCTTCCCCTTGAATGTGCGCTCCTTGGGATCAGCCTTGGCTACTGCCACGAATTGGGGGTCAAACTTCGTTGTCGGTCTAACTTTTCTGCCTATGATGGAATGGCTCTCACCTGGATGGACATTTGCGGCCTATGCGGCCGTATGTGTGTTCGGTTGGTTTGGTGTATACGCTATCTATCCCGAGATGAGCGGGCTTCGCTTGGAGGAAGTCAAGGAACTTCTATCAGACGGCTGGGGTGTTCAGGAAAGTTTAAGAAGACGTCGTGGTCGTCCCGATGTGAGCTAAGGGGCTAGCTTCTGCTCATACGAGACCCGCGTGCAGACTTTATAGACCTTGTTATCAACTACAAGCCAGCGTTTCGGAGTCTATTTTCTGGGCCTAAATCGAAGTATTATATATGCAATAGTTGGCTTATAGAAGCGCACATCTTACCTCCTGTGACTGATTTCTGTATGCACACCCTTCCCTGCAAGGTCCACCGCAGTAAGTTCAAACCTGACAGTGCAAAATCCCTTGTCTCGTATATGCTGCGTAGACTTCACTTCGAACAGAGAGCTGTATCACTCTGGATTGGCATGTAGCTGTACTGTCATCCACAGCGAGCATAGTAAACAGGTCAACGTACTAAGTTTGGAAGATGATCTCGTGACAAAAGAATTTGCTTTCCTTACATATGATTGAACACGAATTCGCTCTTCATTCATTACTTCTTCACTCTCGATTCTCATGCTTCTATGGGAGCTATATATCTTAAGCACGGCGGCCTTCTCTGACTCTACATATGTGTACACTGAGAAAGTGTAAGATCATCATTCTCAGCATCTCCCTGAGTGGCTCGAGGACATAAGGCAAGTAGCCTGTCACTGCTGTATAGCCTCTTATAGGTATTCCCAGTAACACGGAAGCCTAACGAAGATGAGCCCCCAAATACCGACCATGGCGGAAGATTGCTCTCGCAATCCCTTTTTTGGCTTGCCCACAGAGGTGACAGGTCTTGCTATATCCATATAATATATTAGCATTGCTAATTTTGCCCCTAGATTATTCAATACATTGCTTACTTGCTACCTCACGACGTCGATATGGTAAACTTCGCCCAATGCTGCCCTTGGCTCGCAGCAAAAACACTTCCGGCTCATTCTTCCATCTGGCGAAGCCGCTTCAGTGATATCTACGACGTTACTCGGCAGTATGCGTCTGATGAAGTCAAGGTTGAATATCAAATTCGAGCCATTGTCCTCTCACAATCCATCACTTTTCGCTTCGGCCAAAAAGAGGCGCAGACTTTCTGGCTGGAAGTCCTCCGAGATATGCTACTTGAATCATACTGTCTACTAGAATCGAACAAGCCATTGACTTCTAAGAACCACCGAAAGATTCGAGGCATACTCTCTAGCTCTGAATTTCTGAACAGGCCCGTTAGTGGCTACAGTCAGAAGGATGCAGGCCCGCCTTCCGATCTATTCTGCGCAACCCAATTAGTAGGCACCATAGCCGTCATATAGGAGAAAGCGTTGAAATTGACTCTGGCAGTGCCTGACTGGGCTAGCTCTGGACCCTCTTATGTGTATTCAGTGTCTAAGGGCGGACTATGACGTCGGTATTGTCTATGATTACAGGGCTGAGAACAGCAGCAGACCGATTGTGCAGGGAAACAAGCTCGACCTGGAGAAATTACTTCACATACGCAACTTCTGGCTTCGTCATATTCTCTGCCCGGCTGAAGGGACCTTTCACTCTTCTTACATTGACCTGGCTCCATGCTACAAGCCTAGATCCTGGGGTGAGCTTGCGCCTTCTGATGACGAATTGCCCTGGATGGGATATGCATGTCAGTCACTCACTTGTTACCTGGTCAGAATAACATACAGGGTATGCGAATGCTAACTTCTGTGTAGCATGCGTCCATCCATATCCGAGATCTCGAAAGATCCTCGAGGATCGCCAGACATGCGCGGATCTGGATACTAATTGTGTACAAGTCCGATTTCAGGTGATTGCATGGAATACTCAAAGAATATGGACCCCGCTGATCTAATGCCTGCTGTGTAGTCTCTTTTAGTGAAACCCGACTCCAACCCCTTAAACTGGCCACCTATACTTCAATCAGTACTACCCACTGATCCCCCCAACCCCGAACGGTCTTATTTCCGTGGGATACGGAGATCACCTGGTTACGTCGCTCAGACCCTAGGTTTGGTGCGAGGATTCTGTGAACCAATCGCCGATGCTCAAGGGGGCTTTCCTGGCTGGCGTCGCATTTGCTTTGTGATATATGAGTGGGACCAAGAGCAGCTACCCGTTCCTCCTGCTCATAATGGCACAGAGGCCGCTATGGATGAGGACCCTTGGCTTTTCGAGACAGGATGGCCGCCGTCGGACTTTGAGTCTGATTTTTACTTGGTACAGGTTTACGAGGGCGTTATCTTACCAGAAGGTAATATCATGATCGGGAGTTGGATAGATCTGCTGGAGACGCTGGACAAGGGTCCGTTTATTTTCTGGAAACAATGACGGTCTTGCCTGTTTTTGAGCTCGTTTTTTATTTTTGATAACGTCTGGGTCGGATGAAATACATGGCAGAAACCCAAGTTATCCGTTATCACACGTGAAATATGAAATTTGAAAGTTAAGGAAATTTGAAATCTGAAGCCTACTCCTCGATATCCTTTACCTTCTCCCATTGCCCCTTGAGGTTTTCCTTCCACAAGCTGACCTTGTTATCGCCACCGCTCACAGCAAGAATGTTTCCACTAGGGCTCCAGCTAACTCGCCAGAGTACAGTGTCGAACTCAAGTTGCTGGCTGGTCCACTGACCAGGGTTTGACGCATCGGAAGTCCAGATCCTGACTGTCTTGTCTTGAGAGGCAGAGGCGATGTAGGACTTGGAAAGAACGCTAGGCGACCAAGCGACATCCCGAACCCAGTCGGAGTGGCCTTCGAGAGTCTGCGTGTTGTTGTAGGTCTTGGTTTCCGGGCTGTAGAGGTGTAAGGGTCAGCTTAGTTCAATTGAAAGCAGAGTATCAGTGGGAAGCGGTTCATGGTGCATACTTGTAGTCCCAGATCTTCAGCAGGTTGTCGCTTCCACCAGTGACGAATCTCCGCTGCTGGCCCGGTCCAGGGTTGGAGCTGATCAAGCTGCCCGGGGCGGCTGCAGGTGCCCAGCTGATAGAGTTCACGCCCATACCGTGGGCGTGGAAGATCTGGTGAGTCCAGCTATTGTCACGGAACTCAAGAACGCTAACATGTCCGTCCGAGGAGGCGCAAGCGAGGAGACAGCCACTTTCATGCGGAGCCCAGGAGACCATGTTCACTGAAGCGGTGTGTAGAGAGAAGTCGAACACCTTCGTCCAAGCGCCGCCAGCGACGGGTGACGTGGCGTTCTGGTGTTGTTCGCGCCAGATGAGCACCTTTCCATCGTACGAGGAGGAAGCGAGGATAGTTCCGAACTTAGGGTGCGCCTAGAGAAGACCAGAGTCAGATACATAGTTGAATAGGACAGCTTGACAATGAAAGCCATTATGACGTACCCAAGCCACACACCACACAGCTCCTTCATGTCTGCTCACACACGGACGGAGGTTAGAGACGATGGCGCGTAAGATGACCAGGCATCAGGATCCTCACCCCTTCAATGTCTCAATCAACCGATGTGTCTCTCCTTCGATTTCAAAGATCTTTATCGTTTTGTCCGATGAACATGTTGCCAATCTGCGGCCGTAGTAGTCCAGGCCGGCATCGTGCTATGCGCTGCGGTCAGTCTCAGGGGCCAGGCAGAAAGGGATGAAGCCATTGTCACGATGGCGTAGGAGGATTCTGTCTCGGTTCACGTACAATCATCTCATCGTGTCCGGAATTGGAGATTACTTGAGCAGCCTAGTTCCCTGGACGTTAGCAATAGTCATGGGCAAATCGCCTGGGACCATTGGGGTGAGTTGGGGACATACCATATTGATCAACTTTCTGCTCGGTATCGGGATCGACTCTATAAGGTCAACAGGGACGTAAGCTCGTGGGTGGCCCTGCCGGGGAGTATTAGGGGGGTTCTTGGGGGGGAAGAAGGCGGTGGTGGAGGGCCGAATCAACACGCAACAGGAGAATCAGCAGCAAAACACCGCCAGCTTGTCCGTTTCGCAAGTCAGCCGCAGCCCGATCTTATCTTATCGGCTCAGTCAGCCATCTCCAGTCATGCTCATGTACACGTGATCCGGGGGCCTCGGTAGTCCTCGGTCGCCCTGCCCCGCGGCCTGTTCTTCGGTCTCCTTGGCTGTTACTACTCTCTCTCTCTCTTTTACTTGCCTTTGCCTCCTCTCATTCTCTTCTTGTCTTCTGTTGGACTCACTTCTTTGCGTGCTCTTGTACATACATCCTGCATCCCTAAACACTACTATTAGTTGCCTGTTTACTACGCTTATTGTATATCCTGTTGCCCCCAACATAGCAAGCAATCCGACGCGCTCCATCTTCCCAGCTCTTGTTCAATCTAGTCGGCACCATGAGTGATGCTCTATGTGGTCCCTCGAATGCGCTGCAGAACTTTCAAAAGCACGCATCTGTTGATCGTACCCTCCAGCAAGATAGAATTATCTCTCGACAGTCGCCTTCTCAAGTGAGTCTCGCCGTGAGCGTGCTTTACCGAGTTGTACTCATAGAAACAGCAGGGGTTTCGATCTCAAAATCCAACTCAAGGGGTGCTTGATCCCGAATTCGCTGCCTTCGAATCCGGTCTAGCAGGAGCGCCCCCTCCCGATGTACAGCATGCCGTCCCTTTCGTTCCTCCCTCGCATCATTTCCCAGTATCGAGCCCGGCAGAATCGTCAAACTGGGCGGCAGACTTTCAAAATATGCATATCTCGGGACCTCCGCATTCACTCCATCAAACATCAGGACCAGCTGTAGCGCCGATGGCGGCTGTTTCACAACAGGGTTGGCATAACGAGTTCGCTAAGCAGCAACAATCCTCTTATCAGCAGCACCAGCCGCATGTCCAAGGGCTTCAGCCATCCTTTACACCTCGCTTCCCTATGACCAGTGCTGCTTTCCCTCCTATGCAAGCCACTACAGCAAATCAGCAACCGGTGGCAGACACATTTGATGAATCGGCGTTTGAAGCTGCATTTGAACAGGCGCGGGCAGACATGATGTCGCAGGAAACCGAGACTACTCCTGTTCACGCTGAGGAAGTCATGGAAGAGACGGATCAAGTTGTGGCTGAAAGCACGGAAGAGAAGATCAAGATTGGATCGGATACTATTCCCCAGACCGACAAAAATGATCAACAGGCACGGGTGAACGATGCGGACGAGCTCGCCAGAACCGCGGGCCAGCTTTTGGATAGCGTCAAACATGATCAAAGCCAGAAATTCAAAGAAAGCAACTTTCTTGCCTTGATGCGCCGTATTCGCGACCGCGAGGTCCAAGTCGAGGGGGATGAATTTCGCGAAGTCAGTACCAGCAGTCCGTGAAGTGAAATCAAATTCGGCTGGCGTGGAACGAACGCTGGTATAATCAAGTCTTTGCGCGCCGGCCTTTGTTTCTGCTAATCAGTATCTAGATTCCGCATCCACTGCATCCAGGCGGCAAATATTATCCGGAACGTCGGAAGGAACGGCAAGGGCAAATAGAAGGAGATACGGACCAGCATGCCCGCGGAGACGCTATACCCAACTCCACGAGTAAGTTCATACGTGCCAGGCGGCCTATTACTACCTCGCATGATGGCTTAGGATGATAGGCTGGAAACGCTAACCGGGTTTCATCGAATAGACGCAATTCATGGGATTTCATCTAAAGGGAACCCTACCTTAATTGCAAGTGGAAATAATCCGGAAAATCCATCTGGTGGCTTCAGTCCTAGCGGTGATCACACTGTATACGAGGATTGGCGTCATGGGGACCGCTGGGCTTAACGTAATTATTCGACTTTCCAAATCAGCCTTTGGAGACTAAGAAAGGAGATGTATCGGACTAGCAGGTTGATATGGAGTCCGTCGGGATCACGCAAGTGCCTATCAGTCCTTGTTGGTGGGAACCGTTAGATCCTGATCCGTCAGAATTGGCTGTGCCTATTCAGATCCGCTATTCATCCTTTGAAGTTCTGGGGTGGCACAGCATAGGCACCCTTGTTTTCTCTGAATCGACACGTGACCCTATTCCGCCTATTGATGGGAGAGAACAATATCACAGCCAGAGCACGTCAATTCGAGACGTTGGTGGCATTGTTATGAGACAATGTTGACTGGTACGGGCTGTGTGATGCACTCCTAAGCCATTCTGGCGTAATAGAGTGTCGTAGTCGCCTGCTAGTGGATGGTGCTGGGAGACAGTTCGTTTAATGATGCGACTTTGTTACGTGGATGGATGTTTTGTGATGGCGCTTATTTATGTCAATTGCATGCTATTGTTCTCAGCGACAGTGACCAATCCTAACCAAACTCCCATTGCAACCATTCTTTCATCCTGTTCTTTAAAAGTCCGGTCCCTATTCTGTAGGACAATCTTTCCGTTGCTACAGTGCACATCATCTATAACAATCTTCACATATACCCTCATCTTCTCTCTCCATGACTTAGCGCTTATCAGACCCAATTCTACTCACAATGCTTCCACCATCTGAATCCACCCTCCATCAAATCCACAAATTAGCCGAATCACAAGAAGATTCTGATCATACAAACACCATCCCGCCTCCACCTCCATACTCCCCTTCCACCTTTAATGCCCCAAAGGAACATGAAGCCGATAACGATGGCGAGACGGACCAAACAAGCCTCATAAGCATCCATATCGATGCCTCAATGAGCATCCAGGGAAACGCAAATAGCATTATCATTCCATCAGTGACAGCACCAGCACCAACCCACAATCCACAAACCTCGTCAACTCTGAATCCAACTTCATCTTCATCATCATCCACAACCGCCGTACCGCAATTATTTCAATACCAGCGCCATTCCAAAGTAACAGACATGGTCACGTCCATTATTACTGCTTTGCATCGTACGGGACGTCTGGATTCTATTCCTAGTGACAACCCCGCTACTGAAGGTGCACTTACAGATGCAGATGGACTGCCATCGTCATCTATCACGCTGAATATCAATACAGGGATCAAAGTCCTGGGAAGTGGGAATGTATTCTGTGTGGGGGTGACTGGACAACGAGGGATGGGGATGAATGTGCTAAGGAGGAAGCGGAGGGCGTGTTCTGTAAGTTCAAATCTTTCCTTCCCTTGGGTTGCTTTCACTTGGATCACGCTTGAGGTTTTGGTGTATGGTTTGCGCACAGCTAGTCTAATGATTTTCCAATATAGGAACCCCCAGAGGTTGCTACGGCTGGTTCTGTTAAGAGGGCACGGTAGTTGCCTGTTTGTTTGTCTGGTACGTGGCATGGATTGACGAAGTAGGGTGGGGTATTCTCGCTCTCTTACTCTGTGCGTGTGCACACTCTTTTTTCCTATGTCTTTGATTCTGTGTTTTACTTGTGTTTACTTGCTTTCTCTTAATCCTTTTTGATGGCTTGAATGATGTTAGGTGGAATGGCCTGGACATAAAATACGACTGGCTGGCCGGGGGGCGCGGGAGGGTAATGGATCGGATTGACCATATATAGCTAAGATAGAGTAATTCTTTTCCTAGATTAGTTGATGTTAGTGTTGCTAGTTCTAGTTTAGTTTGGATCGCCTGTGGAGTTTATTTCGAATAGAATGTCATCATGTTCGTGTGTTTTCGAGTTGGTCCTGCATTGGATGAGTGGTCTGTGATGATGATGCTTGAACCGAGCACGTTTAGTATATATAGTACAATGTCGATGACATTCACAATGAGGTCTCCTTGGCAGCCTACTAGTACTGTCGTAATATCCTACAGAATAATAGTAGTAGCTAGTAGTAGCTAGTAGTCATGAAATTAGCATTTTAAGTATTTAGACGAGTAAATTTATTCTCGATATGCTAATCCTCTTCGCTCCTATTATAATGCCGAAACTATCATACAACACATCAATCGATAGCAAGACTACTAAGTAGCTACCACATATAAGATCGGCTGAATTGCCCCCACAGAAAAGGCGATAAGACCAAAAAGGCAGAGCCACCATAGATCGAAGAGGAACGAAACAAACAGGAGTGCCCACCTGATCCTCGTAACCTAATGTACCAGACCATACATAACCCCCCCTCCCCCCGTAATGTAGCAAAAGTAGAATAGCAATGATCACCAAATAATTTTGAGAATCCTTACAACCCTAACCAAGGATGATGAGAATGAAATAAAGGTGGACCGACCCATCGCCATAGCAGAAAGAGTAGGTGTGGAAATGAATACCAATCCATCAAGAAGAACATATTAAGGAGAGTAAGAAAAGAAAAAAGGGTTGAAGAGTAGTTAAGAAATTCGGAAGTATGAAAAAAAAAAAAGAGAAAAACGCCTGCCCCAACTATAGAATAGAGGTTCATTAGAGATATCATCAATCAGATAGTACATTGACTGGGGGTGTGAAGTGCTTGTTCCGGCATGGGGGAAATACAAGGCAGGTTTGGTGGGAGGTGAAAAAGGTTTTGTCGAGGAGGATTCATCACGTCAGGGATACTTCGTAGGATATGATACGAAATAGCCGGCCTGTGGAGAGAGAGGAACAACATGGAATCAGACTCTTTGCTCTGACCCCTGCTCGAGGTATCATAGCAGGGAGAGGGATCGGTCTCACCTCTGCCGTTTAGGTACAGAGCGTAGAGCCGCGGGTCCAAGAGAAACATCTACGCTTATAAAGCCCGCCAAATCTACTACCGGCCGATGGGCATATCGTGACGGTGTAGATCTCTGGACCATTCGGGGGCCACCTTGTCTCGTTCGTACAAAAGACCACAGTTGTGGCAGAGCGTCTGTCGCAGTGGCAGTCAGCAAGTAGTCACTTCGAAAGACGGCATATAATCTTACTCTTGGACCTGCTGGGCCATCTCGTACGGCCCAAACCGCCGTACCCCAAACCATACAGTTGGTGCATCTCCAAGTTTGGCGCTCCCTATCGAGCAAAGGCGGTGGTCAGCATGTGCTCTATGAAGAGAATTTATAGGCATAACGAACCAGTCAGCAAGTGTACCGCCACCTCCACCATAGCCAGCTCCTGAACCAGTGTCCGGAGTCCCTCGTCCTCCAGGGGTTCCTCCTCTCCCCGAGGGACTCAGGCTGCGGAATCGTCTCTTCCGTTTGCTCCGCTCGCCTCTTCCGAGCGGCGTCTCACTGTCGACGTCAAAGTAACCACTGCCCTGTCGGGAGGCGTCGGGCGTTATGCCCGCAGTCGAGGAGAATCTGGCCGTCTCTCGACGTAGACGACGAATCTGACGTTCGCGATCACCCTCACGCTTCTCAATTTCCTCCTTTGACAGCGTTTCCACCTTAGGTTCCCATTCGTCGCCTAGTCCCTCGGGATCGTAACGCCAGCCCGCCTCCGCGCCGTTGGCAGCTTGATTGTCGATCTCATTACCATAACCACCCATGCCGCTGATGAGTCCACCACTTTCGCATACTTCTTTCTTCAATTTCAGAGCGGCTTCGTAGATGCCATGCGCAATGGCCCCGACCCATTCCCCACCTAGACCAAGGTCCGCGCACGTAATTCTGGCAAACTCCTCCGCCATACCCGGAGGATGCAATAGAGACCATTCAAACTTGTCCGTGTACAGTTTGTTTTGCAAGTTGATATTTAGGTTGATCATGCACCGATACGCGTCATCCGGGTTTAGTATGCTGTCGTTCACGAGAGGTTCTTTGGTCACCGTTACTTGGTTGGGTCTGCTGTCAGGCGTCGCGGCGTGGGTGGAAACCGGTGTAGCAGACACATCTCGCGACAGGCCAATCTGCGGAACTGGAGGCTTCGGCTGTACACTCTGGAATAACGGATGCAGGGCAACGCCGGCATATTCTTCCAATTGTTGACGAATCTGGTTGCTAATAGCCATCGTCATGGCCTGGGGATTCGGTAGGTCCATATCGCGAACGAATCCTACGGCAAACTCTTCGGGAGTCGCAAGAGCCTCGTGAAGATTCCAAAGGAACGTGTCTTTGATGCGATAGGCAGGCAGCGCCTCCGGCCGTCTGTAGGCGGGCAAGGTAGGGTTGATACTGGGATCGAGGACTGTTCGCGGCAAAGGGAATGGTTCTAGGGGCTGATGCGCTGGGACCTCCAAATCAATTCGGATAGGTATAAGGGTAAGAGGAAGCTGCGCTTGGATTTGCAGTTGATCGGCGCAACTGTACAAAGGGAGAAAAGATTCCAAGTCAGTATCATAGCAAAAGCAGAAAGGACGCAGAGGTAAACTGGAATCGCTTGAAGAATCAAGTTGAGAGGCACATACGCTGGTCGCAACATTCTCTTGATCATCCAATCGCGAAAAACCCCTTGGACCTCAACAGGGGCGTGTATCTCTTTCCCCAGCTTCTCCGCCAGTGGCACCTTGTCGAACGTTGACTCTTCCCGTCGAAGGCTCCTTAGCCCGGTTGGCCGCCGAGGACCCTCGCTGTCCTCAAAGTCTTCATCGTCGTAACCATCTTCCGCATAATTGATAGCGGCGGTTCCTCGCTTGGTCGTCCGTGAAGTCGGGCCAACTTGGCTGGGTGGGATAATCGGGGTGAGAAGCGCATTGCCATATTGGCGCACACGGGGCGGGTATGATGTGATGTAACCTCTGAGAGGGGACATGTTGGCCATTTAGCTGGTCAGGGACATGTCCCTTTCAGACACTGCGCAAGTCGATCGGCGAACAGGGCCGCGTGCAATCCGCTCGACGAAAGGGCTGACAGCAGAGGAGCGAAAACAATGATTTCAGAGTGTTATGGTCGAGGTATCGCTGCGCGAGGAGGAAGCGCCTGAAGCGGGCAGTTGCTGAAGGAAATCAAGGTTCAGGAATTGAGGCTGCGAAATGGAGATGGTGGACTGAAGCCAAAGCTGCTCTTTGACGGTGATCGCGGTCGAGCTCCGCCTTTTCTGCTCGTCGCGTTTTGCCAGAACTGCCGGCCTTTCCACGCTAGGCCCCATTCAGCCACATCATCACGTGATGGGTATACAGGGCAAGCTCTATCTGGAGTACAATTATACAAAGTTGGAATTTACAGAGCTCGTTTATGGCCTAAAATCTTGAATGTCTGCGGTTTATTCCTCGTGTTATTTTGCGTGTATTGTAGGGACACATTGTATGGGTTCCAACTCAGCAACAGAGTCTCGCACTTTGTCAAAGCCCAGCAACAGAGCTAAGTGGCCAAAAGAGAACAAGACAAGCAGGACAGGAATGAAATTAGATGAGAATACAAATCAATGCATGGGGTCCGGCCAGCTAATGAAAACTATAAACAGGATTACACAGTACCCAATGATAATTGAATACGCCATCCCTCTTGTCTGTTAGGCTGCGGATGCAGACTCGGGATATAGGGGATATCATCAACTCCGCAAATGTGCACTGGGCAACGCAGAAAAGGAAAAACAAAAATGGGCTGCTAATGGAGCGATTCTAATATGCATCGACGAGGATGAAAGAAATCGCAGGATAACGGCGGAGACCAAGAAAGTCCATTGGTACGATATGACCGCCGCGAGGAGGCTATCGAAGCCCGATTACGCTCTGCAAATATTGGTTAGATCCTGAGTATATGATAGCAGTAGAGGCAAACTCACCATCTCTAGAGTCCATACTCTACGAATCCAAATTTTCACTTTGCCTTCCACTCCCTCCACATCATCTAGCTCAACTCCTTCCCACCAGCATCTCCTGGCTGGTTTCCTCCAGAATAGAAGGAGCTTCTGAGCCATGCCAACTGCATTGTTATTCGATAGGTCACCCCGAATGTCGGTACGCAGCTTGGCCAAAGCCAGGCTACATATTACCGCCTTGTTGGGCTCTGGGGCTCGATGGCCCCACCGGTCGTCACGATCAAACCCACTACGATTTGTCAGTCTCAAGAAACATTCTTTGTATCACCATAGGTGATAATGAGTGGGAATAGCCAACGTACCCTGCAGTAAGCATCTCTATGAGATGCTGCTCTGTCGAACCGGCTTCGTCGCTCTTTCTCAGCCCAGAAAATATTCCGTCTTGTTTTAACAATGATTTTGCAGCCGCGCGCTTGACCTCGATCATCTCCGCCTGGTCTATATCGGGGCGAGGAGGTATCGCGTAGAAATCGAGGTCCTCGCGCAACACTATGATACCAGCACGGTCCTGAAGCATATCTCTAGCAGTTCCTTGCATGGAGTCGGGAGCAACGTCCAAGTCCGGAGAGGTCGATGCAGATGGTGAGGATGACGGGATAGATTGAGCGACCGATCGGAAGAAGTCTAACATGTATTGCAGAGACGCCGGATCGTACTAAAAAGTGGGAAATAATGAGACGTGTCCTGGGCAAGATATAGGGAGAACAGCGGCGGTGGAAGATGAATAGTAGAGGAACGACTGTTAACTCACGTCGACCGGATAGATGTCGCCTTCATGGAAGGTACCCATGTGCCCGTCAGGAAGTAGACCGTTTGGAAAAAGTGACAAAAGGACAAATTCGGGGAGAGTCAGAAGTTCATCTCGGGAGAGGGTAAAGCGGGTTCCCCTGTGACATTGGTTAGGAGGTCTAAGACTTTACTTTGACTCAGGGCTGATAGAGAATTCTCACCGGAGATCAAGAGTGATATGTTCATCCCCACCGATGTCTAAGATCCATGCAAAACAGTCAGCAAAAGAAAAGACTTTCCCGTTAGATGGGAAATGGCTTTCGTACCTCCTAATGTATTGATCGGCGGCCCGCCGGTCTGCTGCACCTGCGTGATGATGCTCGACGCGCCTCCTGCTGCAGCCATCACGTATGTGAACGATTCGATGGGACTGGATCCTTCAGTATACGGCGGAGGAGGCTCTCCCTCTTCCGCAGATTTTCCTGACGATTCCGGCTTCTGGTCCTGGGAGAAAGAAGCCTTAGTTTCAGCGACTAAGGATGAAGAAGGGCTCGGCTCGAGAGACTCTTCGTCGGGGGGAAGAGGAACGGAGACGGGAGCTGAGGCCGATTCGGGTGGGGAGACAGTAGCCTTCCCGCGATTGAATTCGGTCGCCGGAGCGAAGACAAGAGACGAAAAAGGGGGAGGATGCGACGAGGAGAAACTAGAGGACGAAGCCTCCGAAATGGGGGAATGCGGCGGCGGTGGTGCGGTATAGAAGTCGTCGTCCTCCTCCGCTACGGAGTCTGTGTACTGATACGGCCGCGCCGTGGGAGGCGAGCCAGAAGAATTCGGTGACCACGACAAGGTGTCGGGAGTTGTAGACTGATGCTGAGAGAAGGCCGTCTTGTCCTTTGGTTTACCGGAAGCTTGGTGAACCCCACTGAGAAGGGGCCTTGGCCGGAGTATTTCCAGACCCCGGGTTGCTCGAGTCGCTCAGGAGCCCTCCGTTGTGTTTCTAGAGGCGCTCAAACATGGAACTTAGGGGGCGAGTAGTTGATCCAAATCGGGTTCTATCCTGGAGGTACGACAGAACAACAAAGAAATGAAGAAGAAGTAACAATGAGAATGCGACCGCAGCTAAAATGATAGGAGTTGAGACTGTGGGGTGGAGGAGGTTCAAGGGACGAGGGGAGAGAGAGAACGAGGATGGAGAGGAAGCGCTTACAGGCACGAGAGAGCCTGGAATCCGCTGTTGCTGAAGGGAGGAGGAAAGAGGAGGCGGCGCTTGATCCACCGGCTGCTCTCGACTGCGGACATTGGCTGATCGCTCCCGCCGCCGCTCCTCCCAGCTTGATGACCAGCAATCACCTGGCTGTTCAATTTAGCTACGTGACGCACAGTCTACGACAAGGTCGCTTCATATTGCCTTCTATCGATAATCTTGCATCCCTCCAAGGCTAATCGTCTTTGGTGGGAAAAGCTGCCTGTCAAAGTGGCGATCCCCCACGTTTCCCAGTCACATGATTCATAGCAACCACGGAGAGCAGGTTCTCAAGTACTAGGAGATAGATGGTAGGAGAGGGAATTCTGATTATATGCAGGCCATATTGATGATGCATGTCTGATAGATCCAATCCATACTACTAAAGCAGGCAGTGTGCCGCATTTCCACCCAATATGTACCACCATGCAGACAAAAGAGCGTCGAGTATCCGGCGATATTAATCGTGTTAACACATTAATACTCCTCCGGTCTCGTCCTCAACGCCTTTCGTTTAGACATTACGCTCCACAAAGCTCTGGATCATTCCTTCAAGTGTAGGCTCGTACTCCTTGAGGGTTACTTCATCCCCGTTCAAGATAGTGTTGCCTTGCACGAAGACCTTGCGAGGGATTTTGTTCTTGAGAACAATCTCGCGCACCTTGGTACCCCACCACTCATCGACTGATGTGATATCGTCATAGAGCTTCTTGCCTGCTTCAAAGTCTGCAGTACTCTTGTAGACATGCAATTTCTGCAGGTACTTCTCCACAGCAGGACGACCATGAGTCAGAATCTTGGAACGGTCCAGGTGGATCTCCAGATCGGATAGGTCATCCTTAGTGTATGAGAGCTTGACAAATTCGCCTCCAGCATCGAGGAAGGTACGTAGGATACTGTATCGGGCCTGCATATGGGCCTGTCCCCACTTCTGCGTCTTGGGATCCCAGAACTCCAGAGCCACGAGACCAGCACGAGCCATCTGCAGGTATCCTGCAAAAAGAACGTCACCGGCCTCGTTCGCCAGATCTTCCTTACCGTCGCCGAAACCAAACAGCTGCAGGATGCTAAAGTCGCAGCTGAGCGCCATGGCGACACACTCCGCGCGGCACTCTTCATAGGAAGAAGACATTGCTCCAAACACCGAGCCCCAAGTCTGCCCAGGCTTGTACCAGGATGAGATAGGCTTGTTCGTCACTGGGCTAATGGGGGGATTGGAGACATCGAAATTGTACTCCCCAGGGGCTGTTTCCTGGAGCAACTTTCCGGTTCCATGACCAAGCAATTCATGAATGCCGACCTGAACCTCAAACGCAGCATCACGGCATCTACGGTAGACCTCCAGATCCTTCTCCGCAATGAAAGGCACAGGCTCATTAGGAGCCTTTGCGCTAAGGACATTGCCGAGGGAGACGTTCTTAAATCCAAGGTTTTGCCGGATATCATCGTAATTAGGCAAATTGATACCAGCCGGGATACCAGAAGACTGGAAGCTCAGCACTTCCAGGGAGGTGAAGTCAGGACTCAGGAACTTGTCCTTCTCAAAATCCTTACCCCAAGGAAGCTTGGGGATCATGGCTTCGGCACTGTCCACCAATTTTCCAAAAGCACGTGTCCGCTCCAAGTTGACCTGTTTTGGGAGCTCTGTTAGCTGTCCGAGCGATATGTCTTGAGATCTGAAGTGACGCTTACCAGAGCAACAAATCCTTCCCATTCTCCTCTCACACCGTGGGGGTCTCTGTAGGTTTCGACAAAGCCCAGATTCGTCTCTAGAGCCGGCTTCTGGTCCTTCACCCAGATCCTCTGACTCTCCTTGAATGCTTCAATCGAGCCAGAGCCGAATGACATGGCATATGCATCCAACATCCGCTTCTGGTTCTCATTTGCTGCATTGAGTCCCGCCTGCTTTACGCTGTGAGCGACCTTCGCCATTTCCTCCCGATAGTCACCAAAGACGAGACGAAGCGTCTTTCCCTTGAGCTTTCCATCCAATTCGAAGATCTCGGCATCGCCAAGATCTCTATCCCGCACGGGTGGTGAGGAAACACCCGATGCAATCAATAGTTGGAAGTCACCGGACTCGGTCTTCTTGAGTCTTGTGTTCTCCAACGGCAATCCTTTCGCCTCCATCAGATCTCCGATAGCCGTGATTTCATCCTTTGTGATAGACGGTGAGTCGGGGTAGTATGTTGTCATGTGTCCCCCCTCCGGGTAGCCGAGGTGCATACGGGACTGCTCATCAGTCTCGTAGATGCCACCACCAGTAGAGTTGGCCAAGTCAAAGGCAGCCTTTGTCTTTGGCGTGGCCGAAGCTAAAGCCTGGAAAGCCTCAACCGGGAGTCGGGGAATGAATTTCGAGTCTCCGAAACCCTTGTAGTTACCACAATTCCCAAGAAATTGGGTTGCATACTCCAAGAAGTAGCGTAGATGCTCATCGCTGACATTGGTCTTCTGAGCAAGTTCTGACCAGTTCCCATCACAGGCCCGATGAAGCTCGAGAATGAGGTCGTAAATAGGCTCGGACTCCGGCGAGACCTGACGGAGGGTGATACGAGTTCCCTCAAAGGCAGCTCTACACACACATGCATGTTAGCGAGACGCCACATGACACCGAAATACTAGCAAATGTATGGGCTATAGGGATTTAGGCGCACCTGCTCAAATAATGGGCGTATTTCCGCAGCTTCGGGTCCGTGAGATTGTCAAAGTGAGACTTGACTTCCAAGCGAACCACGGTTGGCGGAGAGTCGGCCAGGTAGTGCTGCTTGACCTGGGCGTCCATTGTGGCTTGGTGAGGGGGGTGAATCAGGGAATCGGAGGATGAAGGAAGGGTATTTGCTACAGACGAGGAAGAGCAGCGGGTGAGGTGGAGAGGAGGCAGACGATGACGGAGGGGCAGCAGGGACGAGGGGCGGTGGGGGAGGACAAAACGCTGAGCCGACGGAAAGCGTCTCAAGGCGCCTCGAAGAGGAGGTTGCATTCCTGGAGAGCTGTTGGTGGCCGTGGGTACCCAGAATCTCCGTCACTGCTACGTCGGGTCACCGTCGGGGAAAGGAACCTAGATTGCAGTCGAATGGAATAGTATCAATCTACTATCGGGTTGCTTGGCAACAAAAAAAGTGGAGCCTACACTTATCGCTTCCATGACTCTTGCTCCACCACAGACAACTCACACCAACACTGCCCTCTCCTCATGCTCCATTACCACGATGTAGTCTGATGATGTAGTATACTAGATATGTCACATCCCTTCTTTTGCTCCATATGGAGCCAACTTAGACAATGGAGGAAATGAAAACTTTTTGAAGCCCATTTTGAACTACGCCTGAAACCATGGGGGAATCATGCATGATGCTGTACACACAACATAACCGGTGACTATGCTAGAAAGACAAAACGAAATAAAGGGGAAATCCCAAAGAGTATCAGAGCCTGATGGCTATAATTTGTAAAATATGCGGTTGAAACCATTGTATAACCTTACCCCCGGGGTTCACAGCAAGCTCTCGTACTTATCGAGGCCTTGCTTTGGTGTTGCTTGTGGCGCACTGTTGTTTAGGAACGCATTGGAGGAGGCAGTTGTACCAAAAGCCGAGCCCCCCGGCTTAGCTAGTCCTCCGGGACTGCCAAACGATCCAACGGAGCTGTGGCCCGACGGAGGCGGAGGGATTGAAAATGCAGAGTAATTGGGAGCAGCTTGAGTGGCTTGGCTAGGCATAGGAGCCTGTGTCTTCATGTTCGCTAACGCTCCCAGAGAAATACCCGAAACATTAGATCTCTGAGTCGATTGCTGATTAGTTGCGGGGTTTGGTATGCTCCACGATGAAGAAGGCGAAGGCTGCAGAGTAGGAAATGATGGCGTTGGGGGAGATTTTGCCCGAGTGGCAGGTGCTAGAGACGGGAATGTGTTCAAGCTGTAATCAGGAGTGATCGAACGCATGCTGAGATTGTTTTGCGCCGGGAGCATGCTCCCTTTCGCACCTGGACTTGTAGTACTAGAAGGCCAGGAGAAGCCTGCAGGCGATGTCGGTTGAGCAGTACTAGACTGCACTGCAGGAGGGCCTGAGGTGAGACTACCCCATTGGTCAATATCCTGATCATTGGACGTAGCTGCCGTTCGTCCTAGAACAAGACGCTCAAAGTTGTCTCTCGTGTTGTCCATGTTAGACTGCCCCGTCGAGATCGAGGCTGCTGAAGAAGACCCAGTGCCGTTCTGGAACCCTCCAGTATCTCCTCCGGACGAAAGCTCCTGGAGCTTTTTTGTTTGCTCTTTTTCGATCTTCGAGGAGATATCTTTGATTAGAGTCATAAATTCCCCAAATTGACGCAGGTCAAGGAGGGGTCCGAGACTGAAGCTCCAGAGAACCGGGAGGACTTCCAGAGCAAGAAAGTCGGTGTCCGCCACGGTTTTGATTTGGCGGAAGACAGACAAAGCAGCCATCATGACAGCTGGTTCCTTGGTTTTGATGGCTTTCAATGACGGGACAAGCTTTTCTTGTATCGTGTACTTGTCTAAGATGGATGACTTCATGGACTGCGACTTGCTTGTTTGGCTTACGCCCGATAGATCATCTCCAATTGCCTCCTTGCCTCCCATGGAGCCGCCACAAAGAACAGCGAATGCTTCCAGACAACGCACTTTGATGGCAAGACTGTTAGTCCGACTAAAAGTCGAAGCTATAGGCGGGAAAACTTCGTTTTTGACAGTGCTAAAGTCAAGGACCGGGAGAATAACCGGTAAGCACTTGATTGCACCATCTGCCAAGGTGTGTGTGGGTGAATCGAGTCCCAGACGAATCAGGGGCAAGATGTCTGCTAAGGTTAGTTATGACTCATTCGCGCATCTTCGATTCTACCGACCTTCTTTGAACTCCTTTCCAGAACAATTATCTGCCACGACGTGCATATTTTCTAGGACGACCAAAAGACCCGCATCTCTTTTAGAGTCGCGGTCTTGGACAGCACCTTTCCCTGTCGGGAAAGCCTCTTTGAGCTGAGGTATCACTCGCTCCGGGAACGCGCGGCGTGCATTGGGAATGCGCTGCAAGATTGCAAACACATTGCTCAAAATAAGCGGCAAAAGCTCACGATCCTTCAGCTCCTCCAGTAAGGCGCCCAAAACCTTTCTGTCTAGCACGGAGGCTGGAAACTCTGGCAGGACCCGTTGAAGCCCACGCATGAACTGCGACTTTTCGTTGGCATTTTTCGCAAGTAGAGACTCCAGAAAGCGAATGGTCGAGACCAGAATATTATCGAAGTACTGAGATTGCTGAAACTCGCGTGCATTCAGACGCTGAGCAGGCCTTCTCGTTATCAGCCTGGGTAAAACGTGAGAAAGGACGTCCTTTGGAATCGGGCCCGAAGATAAGAAGTTATTGCCTTGGGAGGGAGTGCTGGATGGAGAGCTGAGAAGTTTTTTGTACGTATTCACGTTGGAATGCGTCTGTAGCGGGGAAACATGGGGTGAGTTATAGAGCGCCACTATAATAAGACCGAGTGAAAACAAATCCGCTGCAGGAGTGACGTTGGTATCGAGGACGAAATCGGGCGAAGTATAGTCCAGATTCAATTGCACAGATTGAGGCAGGCGTGGGTCTTGGTAGAGAACTTCTGATAGAGCCAAAGGTGGGAGAGTAGAACGCGACTCAGTAGAGCTCGCGGGGCCGGCAAATCCAAGGCCAGAGATTTTCCAATCCGATTTGGCATTGATGTAGATGGCTTCGGGGTTCAAATTGCCGTGGACAAGCCCGGCAGACTCGTGGAGGAATTCGAGACCTTTGGCAACTTGCAATAAGCCCTTTTGGATCTCTAGCTCGTCGATCTCGAGGTCTCTTCGCCTGCGCGTGCCGTCGGGCTCTTCCACCATGTAACGGCTGGACCTGGAGCCGATCCTCGAAGTGTTCTCCTGCGCATCTTTTGTCTGCAGTAGTCCTGCAAGAGATGCGGTAATCTGTTCTGTAGCAAACATGAGTCCGCCATTACGAGTCTCTTCGACAGGCTCCAGCACTTGAAGGACAGACGGATGCCGGAGCCGCGCAAGGTTGCTCGCTTCCCGCTTCAGGCGTTCAACAACATCTTCTTGCAGCTTTTTGGTTGAAGAGCTGGAACGACTACCAAGTCCACTTGATCTTGGTTCGAGAACCTTCTTGTCGAATATAAAGATTGACGCTGTGGTTCCGGTAGATTTCTTCTTCCCATCATGGATTTTCCAAGGACCGGAGACCACGGTGGGGTGTGGAGAGATGTGGTAGTTGGACGATATGTTAGAGCTCAGGGATTTGAGCGCAGACGAAAACATTTTTGTTTGTTTCACTTCTCACCACAGAAGACACAACAACGCTGAGAGAAAGAAGGGAAGTTCCGCCGCAATGGGCTCAATGCATCAAGTGGGATTGTCGTAACACTGGAAGTATGCAATGCAATCCCGCCAGACAGGGTGGAAGGACAGGGACACCGAAGATAGGGGAACAAATATTACAAGAATAGTATTATATAAAATGAACCGAAAGAGGAAGAGGGGACGCGAAGCGGACAATGTTAAATTGGGGCCTCCTCAAGCGTAAACGAGGCGAACGGTTTCTTCGCTATCATACATTGCCCGGCCTCTGCTTTCTTAAGTGTAATCAATATGATCTCTCTCTCCCCTCCGATAGCTTTCAGGTATCAGTTGGCCGCTGCTAATCTGCCCGGTCGGAGAGAATCACGTGCAAGGGACGCTCCTTCGCCAATGAGGAACGAGAACGGGAAGGGAGGGTCTTTCCCCAGACTCACCGCCTGGCTGGATCGCGGATTTACTGCCGGCAACTCTCCTCGCCGACGTCGGACTCACCAACGGAGACTGACCAGAGAGGGATCATTCTGGGGTCACTGATTTACCAGTCCATCGATTGGTTGGAGAGTTTGCAATATAGCCAGTACAATTGCTCATGTAGATACTATTTACGTACTGGCGGGACGCCCAGATTCAAAGGTTCGCTTAGTGTGGTCTCCATGATTGAACCCAAATCGGCCTTGTCAGACCTTAATCTCGGAGTTGGTGCCGTAGTCCGTGGGCAAGAGTCATAGACTACCGTTCTTATCCGCCTTTTTAAGCTCCACAGCCCGCCCTCGGTCCTTTCGGTGCATTATTCTGGTTCGTTTCCTGTCGTGGTTCTTCTCCTGCGCTGCTTTTACTCTCCATATTCTGGGATTCTTGTTCTTTCTTTCTGGAGTTATTATCGCCTGGATTGTTATTTAAAGCCGGCAAGCAATTATGAAGTCATTTCAATTCGCTCGTCGCAGGGCGTTGCAAAGCCTCGTCGCACCGCGTGCCTTTCAATCTCCCGCAACGGCTCAGTTATGGAAGAGATGCTTCAGTGCTACTTCAGCTGCTGCCTCCCAACTAGCCCCCCTTGACCCCTCGAAACTTACCGTCTCGAAGACGACTACTCCTAAGGAATTGACTGCCCCGAAGGACTTGGTCTTTGGCAAGACTTTCACCGGTATGACGAGCACGTGTCGCTTCCAGGCGGTGTCCAGTTTCTAATGCGCATTCTATCTTAGATCATATGCTGTCGATTGAATGGACCGCGACGGAGGGATGGCACTCCCCCCAGATTGTTCCGTACCAGAACCTCAGTCTCGACCCGTCGGCTTGTGTTTTCCACTATGCGTTCGAGTGTTTTGAGGGTATGAAGGCCTACAAAGACGAGTCTGGTCAGATCCGCTTGTTCCGTCCCGACAAGAACATGGCGCGCTTGAACAAATCCTCGAAGCGCATTGCTTTGCCTTCCTTTGATGGCGAGGCCCTCACCAAGCTGATTGGAGAGTTTGTGAAGCTGGACAGCAGGTTCATCCCAAGGTTGGTGAAAAGCACACCAATTGATGATTGAGGATAACAACTTACGTTTATATAATTAGTGAGCGGGGCTACTCACTGTACTTGCGGCCCACGATGATTGGAACTCAAAAGACCCTCGGTGTGGGACCCCCGGGCTCTGCTCTTTTGTTCGTGATTGCAAGCCCGGTTGGCCCGTATTACCCTACTGGCTTCAAGGCCATTTCGTTGGAGGCTACCGACTATGCTGTCAGAGCCTGGCCTGGTGGTGTTGGCGACAAGAAGCTGGGTGCCAATTACGCCCCCTGCGTTCTCCCTCAGCTGGAAGCGGCGTCCCGTGGCTTCCAGCAGAATCTGTGGCTCTTTGGAGAGGAAGAATATATTACTGAGGTCGGCACCATGAACCTTTTCGTTGCCTTGAAGAACAAGGAAACTGGCCAGAAGGAACTGATCACTGCGCCTCTGGACGGAACGATCCTCGAGGGTGTGACCAGAGACTCCGTGCTGGGGCTGGCCAGGGAAAGGCTGGTGCCCAAGGGCTGGAACATCTCCGAGCGTAAGCTCAAGATGTCCGAAGTCGCCGAAGCGGCCGAGGAGGGCAGAATGATCGAGGTGTTCGGTGCCGGTACCGCAGCTATTGTCAGTCCCGTGCGGACAATCAGCTACCGGGGTAAGCTGGTCGACTGCGGCCTGAAGGAAACTGAGGAAGCAGGCGAAATTGCTCTTCAGATGAAGAACTGGATCGAGGGTATCCAGTATGGTGATGAGAGTCACCCTTGGAGGTAAGTCTAGTGTCTGCTTATTTCTCTATGGATGTTTCAGCTTGCTAACTGACCAGTAGCTATGTCCTCTAAATTAGCGAAAAGTCTTAAGATATGGGAATGGTCTTTTAAGCTTGCATTGCTAGATTTTGCTAGATTTTCTCTGGTATCTCTGGTATATCTTGATGATAGATGGATATCAAATGGCTGGTCTTGTTGGAATTTTTCTTACTATACGTCGATTTTAGTGGTGATTGTTCTTGGCGAGCACGAGCATCACATCAAAAGAAAGGCGGGTTTTTCCCTTGCATCTTGCGACCTAACGGCGATTGGAGTACCCAAGTAATGGAGGGCAAATTTTTCTTTTTGGCGTTCTCAGGAGGCGGGCTTGAAGGAGTCTGCCAGGTAATCCTAGACAAGACGGAAACATCATCCTGCGGCCTTCTGCACGACATACACTTTCGTCCAGCAACGAAGGCCAAGGACGGTGGCGATACACGCGAGGAGCCTGCAGATAACGGGTCATGGCAGACGTAGTCAGCCGTGCCTTGGAGCGATTACTTGCAGGACGCCTGAGGCATGTCCCCTGTCTCAGTTGGTTGCGTTTCACCCCCTCGTGAGGTGCAAAGGGTAGCTGTGTTGGACATGGGCTGTGACTCGGATGAATTGGTTTGCTGGCACGCCCAGCCGTTTCTGTAAATAGCATCGCTACACAACAATATCCTTGCTAATATACTGTCGAGCTGTAATAATCGACACAGGATGATCGACAGCTGCCAGATGCGTACCTCGCCAGACTCATTGATCATAGGATATCTCATCAATGGAGTAGATGCACGCCCACGGGATCCCAGTCACGAAGGCCAGTAGGGCGTGGCTGTCCGGTTTCGGCCCCGACCTACTAGGAAAGCAGTGCCCGGACACGGGTCATCCAACACCTACCAGTTCACCCATACTTTCAGTTCTCCAGAAGTCAGTGTACCCCTATGAACTGCGGAGTAGTTCGTAGTTCATAGCATTGAGATCGCAGCTACGGGCGACTTCCAGAAAGACCAATCAACCTCAGGCTACTGAACCCCATCCAGGCAACAATCACTTGCGAGCGGATCATCGAGTACTTAGTAGTAGTGATAGTGATAGACCTGTGTTCCACTATGCCTTACTCTGCCGGCAGGATCCGTTCCGTCAGTCTCTCCGTCCCTTCTATTCCGAGACGGATTGATTCGATTCTCACCAAATGCTCCATCAATGGCCTTCCAGCCAGTAGTGGGAGTCTATGCGAATGGGTGGTGGAACCCCTCCATACCCGTCATACCAACAGATTCGAGAGATGTTGATCGCCGTGACCTCGCAAACACTTCTAGTTCAACCGAGCAGTGTGGCAGTGTGCTAGCTCGAGAGTGGGCCATGAAGCCGACAGAATCTGAAACGACAGACGGGGCACCTCCACGACCAATGTGCTCCAACGCTGGCCCAAGCAGCAGGGTTACGGTCTTGGCGAGATGTTCACTAGATCCTGTCGTCACTGCCTAAGGCCTGCAAAGCGCAAATGAGGAGGTATTAGCCCCATCAGTACTCCATACTAGTGTTCTGAACACGGAGCTGGTCGAGCCGCAGTAAATCCCGAGCTTTTGCCACGAGGTGACAGCAATCAATCAACCCATCAATCAATTCTTCCTCCACAATTACCCGTGCGAAGGAAGGCAGCTGCCTGCCTAGCTCGCAGCAGCTCGATAGAGATCGACCTGGCCCACCACTACACAACTGATGTCCGAAGGAGTTGACGTAACTCGACTCCCAAGGGTTCTGATTAATCTACTGACCGGGACCGAGTAGTCTCCAATACACTCGTACAAGGAATCATTTGATTGATTGTTAAATTGATTGGTGATTGCCGGAATGAGGTCGGCAGAACTATGTCCGTCCCGGACAGTCCGCGGAGTTCGGACAGCACATTTACCGTCTCCGAGACAACTGACGAAATGGATTTCTAATGGCTCTCTCAATATTTTCTCAAACGGATAGTCTTAGGCGGCCATGGTTACCCGTGGCTCTTATTAATGATTAATTCTAGGATTGGAAATCACATCCCAACCATAGATGATACTGTCATTGAACTCGGAAGTCATTACTACCAGTTACCCATCTAGTTTAATACGGCGTTACGGAGCCTTCCAGACACTCCTGGTCCATGGTACGGACCGATACCTGTACTACCACCCCATCGGGCAGGCCGACAACTAACTACCACTAGCACTTATTACCAAGCAAGGTAAGGCGTTTGCGATATACGAACGCCCGAGTTGGCTGTGCACACACACTTCTAGACACACAACACACGCAGCTATACACGCACGCACCGTGGATGAGGCTCTGCTGTGCTGGCTTCTGCATCACTAGTCCTGCAACCAGCCAAAACGCGGATTGCTTCCACCTTAGGCACCCAGTCCATTACAGTGGTTTGGCTACCACGGCGACATCAAACAGACCGCAGCTCTGTTTGTCCGTCTTAGAATTTCCAAGCTAACGGGGCAAATGCAGAAGTAACAAGCGCCCATGGGGTTTTGTCATTGTACTAGTAATCTGCAGCATTAGGTTCATAAAATCCAACTCTGGTCAAAATCGTTGAACAGACCTGTACTATATCCACTGTTGAACGTTATTGTGACCAAAACTAGCTCTCTGGATATTAGATAACCGCAGCAATGCCCCATGCACTTTGTGGACTACTAATGGGCCAAGGCTAGTACTACCTTGCGATATCTACGGATGGTGATTGGTACGCTCGTTTAGTGGTGTCACTCTCATCAACACATGGTAGTACTAGGGATATGTTCTCCCAACGGACAAAGACTGCGAGACAACAAGCCACTGTTGCAACTATGCACTCAATATTATTTTCAGCACACAATCAGCTTCAGTGTGTCGATCATTGAATCATCAAGTCACGCCGGTGTGCTCATTTCGAGCATGAAGGGTGTGGCATGGGTCGCAAACAGTAAGCGAGCGGGTTGTCACAGATGTGCCCGGCTTATTACACCGTACACTGGCGTCAAGGGTCTGTGGGCATGGGCACCTATGAGAAAAGATTGCGATACGGAGCAGCAGATATGAAAATGGGGGCCATTTCTGCCGTCGCTCCGTTCTGAAACTAGTCCCCTGCTAGGTTGAGGGGGCGGAAGACTAGGTAATGTTGGCCTCACGTCGCCGCCACGTTAGGATAGCAACGCATCAATTGTTGCGGAAATGGGGCCAACAATATATTGTTGTAATTGTGGAGGAGCACCAAGGGGGGAAAGGAGAGGCATTGTTGCCATTCTTCGGCCTTTCAGCCATGTTTAATCAAGAAATAACCTTCTTTATTATTTTTTTTCCTTCTTACGAAACACCATTGATATTATGATTCTGAGTGGCATCTCGTTGAATCTTATGAAGGGGCACAAAATGTGACTATAATGATCGTCAGATCTATGAAAGTCTGACAAGGTTCCTGAAAGCTTGAGGATTCCTCAGGCCGGGCATTGAGCCGTCGCATGAATGCCTCCGTCTCTTTCCCACGAGGCGTGCTGGCATTAATTTAGCATGGCCGATAAGGATTGCACCATCCCTCCCTTCCCGTCAGACGCCATGACCTTTGCACGTGGAGTCCCCGTACTTTGTCCAAGTGGGTTTTCGTCATCTTCCCATTCCTGGCGGCGTGCGGGGCGGCCAAGATTAAACCATGCCATCCTGTCAATTGTGACTCACGCCCACTGAGAATGAAGTTGCGCGCGCGGAAATTACTGGCCGGTCTATCCGACATGGCTAGACTGACAGTCCAGAGGCTACTAGTACTACAGAATAGTCCTCCAACGTGATTCATTGACTGACCTGACGCTAACTTATTTCCCACTTAGCGTCCAACTACCTCTTCCGACCTAGATTACCAGTCCAAGTTGTTCAATATACATTGGGAACGATAATACGGTATCCTTCCCTATATACTAAACCCTTCTCAGGAAATAGCTCTGCACCTAAGAAAATATTGCGGGTTTGGAGCTAACGGTCAAGACTACTGCAAGCCTGGTGCACACTGCATTCTTGAGTATTATTAATATTCTTGAATGCCGCAGAAGCCAGCCAGTGAGACGACCGAGCAAGCAAACATACCAACCAGTTGTGCCGTCCGCCAAGGACCAGTGCTTCTAGATATGTACCAGAAGGTTCGATTCAGTGTCTGACGGCCCTTGGCCGCCGCAGGCGCTCCCCCAAATCCCTGTCGAAAAGTGCATCCTCATGCAGTAGTAATACATAGGCCATCGGCATGCAGAAATATACGAGCACTGTCCTGGACCAATCAGGACGCTATGTGCCCGTCTCTAGTGCACAGGTTCGGCACGCGAGGCCTGATGACGAAAGAGGACAGAATAGCCAGGCACACCCATACGAGATATGGTTACATGTGTACTAGTCGGGTAGAGTCATGGGTTGCGATCTCTTGTATCAGATGGGGGCACACATGCGGACCCAGACTCTCACAGAGAAGACTAGAGCCAGGGTAAAGGAAAAATGCTTCGCCGCTTTCAGAAGCTAGACATCCCGACCGGGCAATACATGTGATGTGTGATTCATCGAAGGCTTGACGTACTAGGAGGCCAATCCACTACCTCTTTGATCTTGAATCAGGCTGGGGGAATTCAGCGTTGGACCAATTAACCACGGACCATGGACCGTAACTGCCATCAGCCCTACACATAGACGGTGATGCAGACGAGGGAAGTCGTTGATACCTGGCTTTGAGGCAGTGTATGTCAATCAGACTGAAATATGCAAGTGATTGAGCCTCATAGGAGGTAAAACATGGGAGAATGCTTAAGGCATCTCCAAGGCCCAATATCCAAATACGGTAACTAATTCGTACAGCCAATTGCAAGGGAGGCATGTCACCTTGGGGCTGAAAAGCCTCTCGCCTTTTGTGCAATGTCACTGGCCCGCTCGTCTACCAGTGGATCCAGCTGGTCCCCGCTCCGTCGCTCCCCTCCCGGTTAGTACCCACAGGCTTTCTTGGGGGTTGCCGATCTGATTTGTAATGGCATCCACTAACAGTACGCAGGGGTCTTTGGTCCTTAGATTACACCCCGAATCGGGCAAGAGCCTTGACATTCGGGGCTCTTCGAATTGTGATTCTCTTCCGCAGCTACATAGCCTCCTATCTAAATGCCTCCTTGGCAGTAGTGGTTGGAATGTTGTATGCACCAGCACCAGGTACGAGCAGTGTCCTTGATAATGCAATAATCTCGGGGCACTGTGCATGCATCCATCAAATTCCCCATTATGGGAAGTAAGGAGTACTGACCACTTCGCGATAAGACCATATCTACAAAGTCATGCTTAGAAGCGCTAACCGATAACAAAAATACGACATCTTATGGTACTCGATGATAATGGAAGATAAAATAAGAAACCTTAATGTTAAAAATAAAACAGAAAGGAGAAAAGCACAAACGGAACTAACTCAACAACTGAAAGGCTGCATTGCGGGAACAGAGAGTCAAGTCAACTTCGGGGCTGGAGATTGGCAGCCTCCGAAACAAGGCTATCTTCCCCATCTCCGGACTGTCCGCAACCCGGGCTGTGCTGGATCGAAGGTAGGAAATCAAGTGATCAACTGATCTGCGAGTTTCTCTCCTTTCTCCATGTCTCATTGCGCCCATTCCAACTGCAACTTCCAAGCATCGGCAAGGTATGGCCCATGGACATGATGGGTGACAAAGATAGATGAAACAAACACCACACCGTCCAGAAGCAAGTCAGCCAACAAATCAGCGACAGTCATTGGCTTACCTATAATGGAAAGGAATGTGACTTTTCAGAAGAAGAGTAACTAAGAAAGTGGATGAGCAGCGCCGCCCCCCTTCCGTCTTTCTCTCTCTCCCCTCTCCCCTCCCTTTCCCCTCATTCCCACCACCCGTTCGGAATAGGTGAGATCTTTATCCTTAGTGTGCTGCCAAGATCGAGGGGTGCAACGTGGCAGAAGTCGAGACCGTGCACTAGAAGGGGCGCTGCTCGTGTCAATCGAGGCACACTCACACTCACACACACACACACACGCACCACTCTTTCCCATAATCCCAGTTTGTCCTCGACCTGCAGATAGACTTGACGCAGGTGGTCAGTCAGTAACTACTAGACTAGTAGCCTGATGCCGGTGCCTCATGGTCGGCACCCAAATGGCACTTTTCCAATGATTACCTGACAGTTATCCAGATTTGGAAGTCAGCGCGAGCGGGCGCACGCGGGCATGATTGGATGGGGCTATTTTGAGAATCATGCATTGCATAGCATGTAAGGTCAGTAGAGACCGAAGAGCCAAAGAAGGCAGACGACGGGACATGATGCTTGAAACTCAGGAGCTGAAGAAACTGTGCGTCTGTGTGTGCATTCCTGGGGCTGTGTGTGTGTGGATGTCGAAAGGATTCCTCGATGTAGTAACTACTGCGTTCATTACTATTATACTAGTAAACTACTAGACACAGTGGTTAGGTAACCACATCTAGCACCCGTAATCAGCGTAACTCATAGATACGCAGAATACGACCCGGCAGTGATTAAGGCCGAACAGAGCCGTGCCGGGCGATACGAAAGAGGTAACCGGACACTGGTAGATGACTAGTAGAGCAAAGTACCACGGAGCACTGCGTACTACATTAAATAAAGTATACGGCAACAACCACGTGCTCCATCCAAATTGACCCGTTTCTGCATATGGTTCGCCCAAGACATGGTTCGAAGGAATGCCGCTTGAGGGAAGGAAGGAGAGAGAAATCCAGCGGTAATCTGCACAAAAAACGTCGTTAATACGAGAGCATTATGATCTGATTTGAAGGATGGGTTACTATCTGACTAGTAGATTAGTTTTCCCTACTAGCTAATGGAGGATGGTGACATCGCCCACCAATCACCCTAGCCGATGGAGATTAAAACGTGCCTAGATACAGGCGCGGAAATTCCTCTATTTCCATGGTTCACCCGAACCTGTCGGATTTAAGCGACAAAGACAAAGACAAAGGCCGCAGTGGTAGTAGTGCTACTACTATGGTAGGTAGTATTGGAGTAGGTGCCTAGTTACTATATCCTGGTAAATGGGTCTTTGGGGGCTACCGGTCTAGGATGAACCATTAGCTAATGGGTTAGTACTAGTAGTTAGTTGGTTCATTCTGGGAGATATTTGAATGCCTGAGGTCTACAGTAACGCTCCTTCATACACGAAGTAGTATGTATGTATGTAAGTATGTATCTCCGCGGATCGTCGGCATGGGACACTTGAAACAGTAACAACATAATCATTGAAACGCATTCATCAAGCACAAGAAGACTATTCAAAATCATAAGACAATTATATAAATTTCTCATTTATTGAACAATCACCCAGCCTCACATGGTGTGATGGGAAGAAGAAGAGCAAAAAGTTGTGTAACCATACCCAACAAATCAATTAATTAATTACCTAGTAGCCCCGTACTGATACAGTATTAATACGAGGCCACCCAACATACCACTGGATTGTAAAAGCCGCGCTTTTTCATTTTCAGCCCCCTCCTGGCAGACACCATCCAAGTCAAGTCCAACAAACATCCTGCTTAAGCCACGCACACTCACACACTCACACACTCACACTCACTTTCCGCTCGTTTCAAAGCCTAGGGAACGAATGTAATTGGATCACTCGGTTCGACACTGCGCCCTTAGGCCGTCCATCGGTAGGACAAATCTCCAAGCCTATTTCTATTTACTGAAGTTGGAAAAGCTAGTAGCTAGATTAGGAGCCCGCCATGCTGGGCCCATTCTCCCCCACACCCACACACCTCAATCGCTCAACATGCGAGGTTGACTTATCATCAAGGGGGTGAGTGGGTGTGGGAATGGAAGGATGGCCATGCAGTAGCAGCAGTAGCTTCTTGGGGCTTTTTCTTTTTCGACTGACTGTCTCGGTTGGCTCAATTGAACGGCTTTTCTTTTTAAGACACACTATCCAACTAGTCCGGAAAGGGCCCGTTGTTGCATTCGTTTCGAATCCTGGGCCGACAGAATTCAGCTCCTCTCGGCACTGCATAATTTGACAGGGAATATACGACCGTAGAATCTCGGGAGAATGCTGCAGGATGGGGGGGGGGAGGAGACTACGCAGAGCCTAGTTGGTAGACAATTGTAGTCGTACTAATGCAATTCGTTTTGTGTATTTGACGACTGTTACAAAGCGGGCTGCTGTATACTCCATAGAGGGAAAAATGTTCCTATTCTCAGGCAGGCATTTGGGCCTGTCTGGTAGCTGTTACTTACTATCTCTGGAAGATCGATATGGAACCACATGGTCGTCGAGATTGGTGGACCAACCGGGAGGGGAGAGGGGG